TAATACTAAAATTCAAATCATGGAAAGGAAAAGAAAATTTAGTCCTGTCTATGGTACGTTGAGCTTTATAATGGATACTACTGTGTGTTTAGTGCGAGTTTTTTAACTTTCTCGATAACGTAGAAGTTATAACTCAAATTGGTATGCAGTTGGAACAGCGCCCCTAGCGGCAAACGTAGGTAAACGTTCCAACTCCATACAAATTTGAGTTAACTTTTACGGTATCGAGAACGTTAAAAAACTCGCACTAAGTAGACTGGAGATATAACCCATAGTAGGGTGACGTCAGGCAGGTGGCTGTTCGTAAAACTCATGCCAAATACCTATGCAGTATGCTGTAACGACCTTACATAATGTTGGTTAAGGACAAAAAGAAGAATGAGAAGTAAGCACTGGCGTACGTGGTCTTATAGATAAGAAATCGGGGTACTGATAGTCACGCGAATATGCAGTGGTTCATTTACGGCGTTGGTAACAATTTGCACAACACTAATAATCTGTGTTCACGAATAACTTTCAATCGAACGTCACTTTCTCTTTCTGGTCGTTCCCTCAATGCTGAGGATCGTGACTGTATGTCACCCTACAATCCAATCTTCTCCACTCGGTATGTACCGCTCCCTGTATCTGTATGAATATTATGCTTGCAAGTTGTGTTAGTATGTCATGCGATCCGCCTGACCCTCAGCGCCATCGCAAACCCAAGATGCATGGTGGGAATCGAATACCAATTGTATTATAATTCCTGTTCGTGATGTAAGCCAGAGTCGAAACAAACTTCCTGCCAGAGTAATGCGATCTGAAAAATAGCTTATCTGCTCCTCCTCCTTGCATCGTTCTCCTCATTACTGAGGGTCGTGTATCCCCGCTCCATCAACCCGATCGTCTTCCGTCTGCTGTGATCCTTGGCCTCGCGGAGGGCGTCGTGGAGCTTGATGTCCAGACAAGACCAAATCGGTCCGACCATCTCGTGGGACTGCGTCCTCTGGGACGTTTGCCCTCTATCTTGCCTCTCACCATTAGCTGCTCAAATTTGTGACCCTCCTTTCGAGTAACGTGTCCAAATAACTCCAATACTCTACGAATGCATATTGTGGATAGTCCCGTTTTAACATTAAGAAGTTACCTGCTACGCTAATGCATTTATTTAGACCTATGTGTCAAGTTAGACGGAGAGGTCACGTTTATGTGCCCTCATCGAGACCCGAATCAAACAAAAAACAACCAAATTGTGTATCGCGTACGTCTTTTCTTGAAGATATCACCGACTTTAGGCTGTAGCCTCCACAGTTTTCCGGGTTTTTGTTGTCTAATTTTATACTTAACGATAGAATTTGACTATAACACATAACGAATATAATTGGTATGTACAAAGACTACAAAGGTGACTTAGGCTATTAAATTTATCTAAAAATAATATTAAATTATCGTTTTATCAATTTATGTAAAGGGATTTTAATGATAATTTGGCTAATTACGGCCACGGACTAATGATAATTCGTGAACAACATTCGGGATAACGATCTTGATAAAAATCTTTATTACCGCTGCATGTTTGTTGTTTTAAGTTTATATATCTATTATATAACGCATAAGCTATAAATTGTACTCAAAATTGAAAGTGGTCGTATAAAAGACCCAAATTGAATATCTGGTTTTAAAATGTCTCATGTGAGTTTAATAATATCAACACATTATTGAAACAAGACAAGAATTCAAAATCTTAATGGAATTGGAATTCTACCGAAGAAATAGGCGGGGCGACCCTGTAGAGACTCCACTATATTGTAATTAGAGAAGTCGGAATCCATTAGTGAATAATAATACTACATCGGGCAGAGAAAACGATTAAAAGGAGAAATTTATAATTGTAATCATTTCTTGTGTATTTATTTATACGCAATCATTGTTAGGATAATATTTTGATGAACTTTTGGATAAATATTTATATAATTAGTTTAGTTCGAGACTTATAATATTCTACTAATAACTAATACATTTTAGTTATAAATTCGAGAATAATACACTCACACATACAAGCTTTATGCCTTATAATTCATTTTAGCCGCAACAAAAGTATTGAAACTACTTAAAATTTTTGAATAATTTGTATTTTAAATTAACATAACCAGTTTTATTCGATAACATAATACATATTTTGGTGATTCGATTACATATGTAATATGTAAATATTTTATATTTGCTCCCATCGTTAACCGGCGACACGGAAATCTTAAGATGTTATGATTTTGATTCAGTTGGACTTAGGTGAAGTATTATGTAAAATGTAGTGAAGGAAGATTGTTTTGTACAATAGATCCTTGTCGTCTTTAGTACTGTATCGGTCCCTAGAGCTTCGGCCCTGTTTAGGTTAACGATGCAAATTTAAGCAATGCCAAGAGCACAGTAAGGCTTCTTTTTTCCTACCTAATCTGATGGTCTGGGAGCATTTCAGTGTCGCTGGGCTAGTAGTAGAAGCTGTGGACGCTTACAAAACGGCCATTTTGAAGACCCCAACTTCCGAATGGAATGGTTGCTTCAATGATTGGTTCCATCGTATGGAAAAATGTGTCAAATTTCGCGGAGAATACTTCGAAAAGCAATAAATACTAATGTAAATAGTAATGTTGTGACACTTCGTTAATTCCCGAAATTTTCAGTGCCGCCTATGTATAAAGTAATCGCGCGAAACTAAGAGTGAATGTATTCATGTTGTTGTATCGACACAATATTAACTTTCAATGGGTGTATACTATTAAGTCTTCCAAGTAAATGCAGTTTTAAATATTCTCGATAATTTTACTATATTACTTAGTTATAAAACAGAATTTCATTCATACGGAGAGCAGGAGGTATAGCTCTATTAATAATTTAAATTTAAAACATGTACCAAACGTAAAGTTTAATAGCGTGTTAAATTATAAGAAAACAAATAACATGAATTAAATCGTTTCTTTGATATACTAAGAGTTCAACTATTTAAATTGTATACTCGATACTGTAAACGTGTTGAATTTGATAAGCTGAATTGTAACTGTAGGTGAATATTGTCTACGCATTGTCAACTAAAGCGCGCGCGATGGCCTTTATTCTCTATTAGATACAACGCATTCTAATTAATAATTTTTTTTTTAGACTTTGCCGATACGATTTAGATACAGGGCACAGATGCGATCATCAATTTCTCTTGTATCGCCAATAAGGTNCTCTATTAGATACAACGCATTCTAATTAATAATTTTTTTTTTAGACTTTGCCGATACGATTTAGATACAGGGCACAGATGCGATCATCAATTTCTCTTGTATCGCCAATAAGGTCTGCGCTGTTTTCTACAAATCTCAACATAACCGATTTAGGCGTTATCTAGACGATTATATCTGATGCATTGATAAAATGACAAGCCATTGTCGTCAATCTTGAGTGTACTCAAAACATGATTTCGAGTTCATCTTCTTTGATATCCGATAATGAATCGCAGCTGGCGCTATCTACTTTCAATTCGACTCATTCGATATGATTCACTGTCAGTCAAATGACTCAAGAGTTATACTTTTTGAGTGATGGACAGGATATTAGTCTTTCGTTTCAGTACGTCGACCGTGATGTTACTAATATATACGTGTTGTGCGTGTATGTGTATTTCAGTATCTATTACACACGGTAAATCTATTTAGAGCTCGGATGGTACGGATTTAGATTTACGATTTGTTAATTTGAGATAATTATTTTGTTGTCAATGTAAAGTGATAAAGCACGTATTGGGTAAAACCGGCTTTACGGAAAATATAAGTGAACACAATGAGATTTGAACGCGTAACTCTGTTAATATCTTTAACGTACAACCAACCACACGTCTGTTACAATTTTATGTGTTTGCGTATAGATTTCGCGAAACGATGTACTTTTCATGTACTGTCCGATCGATCTTAAAAAGTCTTCAAAAAAATTCACTAGAATACTTACTGTTTTTTTTTTTTTTGTTTACTAAACGCATACAACAAAACGTTAACACTGCATTTTACGATCACAACCGTATCGAAGTTGAAAAATTAAACATACGGATATCTTTTAAAATAGAACTCGTAGCTTCAAAGGAAATCATCTTCAAACGTACGCCAGCGCGTTTGTAATCGGCCGTCGTTTGACTTGTGAGGCGCGTATATCAATTGTGTGTACATCAGTTGGCTTTAGACTGGAGCGTCCATTGATTTTTTTGGATTAACCTTGATGGGCAGACTGGGGGCCACCGGCCGCCTGGTGGTATTACTTATTGACACCATACCATCGTACCTTAAACATTGGCTCTAGGTATCGACTGGAATTACGCTTGTGCTATCCCTCAATCATTAAACTTCGTCCTGAACCTCTGATTAGTTCACGATAATGATTCAATGCTATCATTGTAACAGGCAACAAATTGTGTATACAATGCCTCAAATGCCATTTTTTTTAAAGTGTATTGGATTTTTTTACTGTCCCAAAAAATTTAAAATCCAGTCTCTTGCTGGTGATTATTTGGCCATTGTATTAGGTGTGTGTAGGCTTATATGAATCTGGAATACATACGTATTATAATAATAAGGTATAGATAAAGAATTAGAAATTATGTTTATAGAAATCGTATTACTGGCAATTTAGATATTGTAGAAGTAGAAACATCTATAAATTGTATGCCACAAGAAGAAGGCTTTTCAATCGTACTAGCGAGGGCTTGAAGATTTCTTGTTCGTAACAAGATCAAGACTGTTTTTTTGTAAACACTAAAGAAAATCAAACCTTTTACGAAATTTAATCACGTTATATTCGAGAGCTTAAGTATGGATATTACTAGGATTTTACTTTAAGGTAAAATGGTGCTAGTTGTGTACGCAAAGATATTGTGAGTCATAGAATTAAACTTATTTCTACTCCAATTTCATCGATACCGCTTCTCGATATCGGCCTTTTTGTAAGATCCTTTCTGTAGTTACTGATTATTTTTTTCTATTTGTCCCCAGGTCTTAGCGGTTCGAAGGCTGACCTGCAGCATCGGCGGGAAGTGTTCGGTTCAAACTTGATCCCGCCGAAGCCACCCAAGACTTTCCTGACGCTAGTATGGGAGGCTCTGCAGGATGTCACCCTTATTATCCTAGAAGTTGCTGCTGTTGTTTCATTAGGATTGAGTTTTTACAAGCCCGCAGATGACCCCAATGATGCGGGTAAGTTGTTACACTGTTATTTAATTATTAAATCCGATGTGTTTCATCAACTATGAAGAACATAATCATCTCGAATTGAGATAGTACTCTGTTTGCTAGCAGACTGGTTCTGATTGAAGATTGTTTCAATCTAAATAAATGTTCTTACGACCACCCCGTTTACGATGCTTTCTTTAAAACAATCAAGTTTATATTTATTTTATGTGAAAAAACATCAATATCTTGATTTTGGAAACAGTAAAATGTAAATGTACAAAATAATTTTCCCTTAAAATATTTAAAGCAGATTTTTTACATCTGCAACATTCTAGTAACAAAAAAAATGTTGATACAACTCTTCATTGTATACGAATAGATAAATAGTGATAAAGTAAAGACTATAAATGAATGCAAACTTAATGTAGTCATTTCAGCAGTTATAATGGTGATTCATGATGCCAGCGATGTGAGTACAAGTAGTACTCGCCGTTTTTTTTGTATATTGTAAGGTTTTTTGCGTTCCTATATGAAATACCATAGGGCGTTAGTTTAAAGATATTATGTCAGAGATGGATTTATTATTATTCATCTATAAATTTACGTACGTTCTAAAAATAATCTCTAGCAACCAAGGAAATAGAACACATTAGCAATTCATAATTGCTCGTATAGAGCGTACGATAATATTGTGCAGTTTTCATAAATCAATATTGTAATGCATGTTTTGAACGGGTTGGTACAACCACCATACAATGGGTTTATGTCCTAAATATATCGCTTTCTATTAAGAGTAGAATAGTTTTAATACAAAATTATAGGGATTTCATGTTTAGGGGGATCCAGAAACCTTATAACGCCGAGTGGGCGATGAGCCATTTATGTTCAAAAAATTAACTTGTATTGTCTTTTCTTTCCGAAAACTAATATGGATACAGACCCTGGTAAGATTATAATGCTGTAGTAGAAAAATTTTAATGATTCAATAGTTTGAGTATTAGTTTAAGTAGTATTAATGAATTTTAAGTAGTGTTAATTTGAATCTACATTCACTTCTCTCCACTTTGTCATTCAATCTGTTATCAATGCCTACAAGTTAACAGCTTATGTCGTATTTTTTCAAAAGAGAATTTTGCCGTATTTATTTCGAGTGGTGTGTAAAAATGAGGAAGTTATCCTTAATAGAATAATCTTTTCCTGATTTCTACCTCTTTTGCAATGTAGCCTTTTATAATTTTCATTCGCTTCAAATCCGTACTGCATCTGTAGTTGATTACCAAATGAAACCTGCAAGGAACGAATAGCATTCACTTTCTAATATTTCACAAACTTTTTGCCCAAAATCAGCCCTTTTGGCTAACTGCGTAAATTTCATCCTACAATGGTTTCCATTATCTCTAAATCTAATACGAGATATATGGGGATCAAAACAAAAGGACAATTAGACCAATTATGATCTTCGGTTTGCAACTCAATTGGGGAAACGAAATCTACAATGTTTTTCCCTGCAGGCTCCGAAGATATTATATCCGGCACGGTTTTTAGCATGTAGTTAATAGTAACATTTACAATCTCCTTAACCTCCAATTAACCTTGTATTTGTTAAATACGTGGCTTATCTAGTTTTGTAGAACAATTAATTACTTCACTTTTCATTTAAAGGCTAGTTTCGTATGCTTGATGAAGCTTTGTTATGCGCTGCTCCGATGTTGGTCGATGCTGGCTGGTACAGTTGGATGTTGGTATCGCAACGGCTGGTATCAGTCTTCCCGCAATTGAAAATCTCCGGATACTTTTAAAACCCCAACGCTACCGTATAAAGACTTATCTCATATTTGGACATTTCATCGGAAAATCGTAATAGGCTGTTTCCATTCAGTTAATAGCACGAGTTTTAAATTTGTAAGGGTGTGGTCCAGTGTCGAAGGTCGAAGGCAACTTCCATTCTGATTTGATAAGTTTTCTTATATCAACATGGATTTCGATTCTCTATATATTTATTTTTTATTATTCTCTTTATTATTCTCTTCTTATATCTGAAGGTGAGCGGCATTTTCGCATTGCGATCTTGGGAGATCTGGGTGGGTGTCCCATAAGTCCCGCCTCTGCGCAAACTACACCAAATAAAAAAATAGAACCCGCAAAATTATAATTTGCGTAATTGCTGATGGTAGGACCTCTTGTCCGCACGGGTACGTACCACCACACTGCCTATTTCTGCCGTGAAGCAGTAATGCGTTTCGGTTTGAAGGGCGGGGCAGCCCGTGTAACTATACTGAGACCTTAGAACGTATATCTCAAGGTGGGTGGCGCATTTACATTGTAGATGTCTACGGGCTTCAGTAACCACTTAACACCAGGTGGGCTGTGAGCTCGTCCACCCATTTAAGCAATAAAAAAAACATATACAACAAGTCCTTCTGATGCTGGTAAATAAGTAGGTATCACATACAGCCTATAATGCGTGTCGTAAAATTATACTACCTCCTGCCCACTACGTAACGAGGGAGTGTCCGACCCGATACGGCCTTTCAATGTTGTCACGTAATCCGATTTACCGTCCCTCTCCCTCCCGTTGTAAAGGTCATTAGTGCGAGAGGAAGCGCAACGTTTCGAGCTCGTTCGATTAATCATCGCATTAAAAGGGTTGAGGGATAATATGTCACGGTGATTAGGGTTCATTCTTGTGTTGCGCGATGGTTTTTATTTATAATCGATTCTTGTTTAATTAATAACATAATTTTTATTCGTATCGATTGAAGCTATCAATTTTGTTCTTATTATAATGATATCAATATTCCGAATTCAGATTTTCGGACTTTCCGATCAGCAGAGTTTAATCTGAGCAAATAACAATCCACAACTGTGTGACTGTCTAGAATTATATTTTCTTTTCATTTGTTATTTTATTAAGAGACGAAATCGCAATTTGAGTATGCTATTAAAAAAAGAATTACATTCGGAAGACGTATCATTTCTTCAACCCGAGAATCCTGAACACGCTTTTTTCGGTCGAACCCTAAATATCCACATGAGCTCCACTGATTAACAGCTTTGGCGTCACCGGTCGCTGATGGTATTACGCTAGGCACCTTCCGTGAAACACCAACAATAACTGTACCAAGTTTCAACTCGATCGAACAAATAACGTAGGATGCACATAACTTTTTTTATTTTTCCTACCTAAGCTGATAGCCTTGAGAGGCTATATCAGCGTCGCCTTAACTAGTAGGTGAGCTCACAGGGCTCAAACCTGATGACGTTGCTAACACGAGCCCTAGCAAGAGCCGTGCTTCGCATAATTTACTCGTCGAGTCCTTCCTCGCGAGCGACGGGTTCGACGAGAACGATGACCGGTGCTTGAGGTACCTAAAAGCACCGTTAGTGGATCGGGAGGATCCGAAATGACGTATTTGGGGCGACGGCGACTGCTTTCCATTCTTTGCACATAACATGAACAAACAAAAACAAAATTGTTTATCAATAATATTTTTTTAAGCACGTTTATTATGTGAAGATTTCCAAAGATACCCTTTCCACGAAAGATCTTTGCAGCACGAAGCAGCTATCAAGCATTACGTGAACTCTCTCCTTCAAGCCAATCCAATGCTAGGTATCTTGGAATGCACCTTTCTTTGGTCTCTTGCCTTTCGCATCCAGTCCTTACCAACCACTTTGACCAGTTCATTGGTCCACCTCGTTGGCTGTCTGTTACAACGTCCAGTACGAGGTCTCCACTCCAGTACTTTTGTGCTAATCGGTGGGGCCACATATTTGAACGTAAATCTAAAAGCAAAACGTTGTGTTTTTTTTCAGCACATTTGGACGAAGAGGAGGGCCACTACCAGTGGATCGAGGGTCTGGCCATCTTAATATCGGTTATAGTCGTCGTCATAGTAACAGCGTTTAATGATTACACGAAAGAAAGGCAATTCAGGTCAGTAAACCATGTAACCAACTGATGGTCCAAATAATTAAATTTCTCTGCTACATTTGTTAGGGAAACTAACGATGCTTGATCCATAAGACAATTCTAGACGATTTATATATTTATATTTCCTTATTATTACTACTACTTAATTAGTCATCGAGAATCCTATTTATAATTTGTAATGTGTAATACATATACGTATTATCTACGAAATAAATTTATATTTCATGACTTATGCATTTTGGATTATTACGAATATTTATAAAGTTATATATGATTGTCGAGTCTTATCCAAAAAAAAGTATCGGAGAAATGCATTTATGTATTACCTTATTCGTTTTCTTTCGCATTATAAAGATCCGACAGCGTATTATGTATTAGATAAAAATCGATAAATCTTTACTGGTGGTAGGACCTCTTGTGAGTCCGCGCGGGTAGGTACCGCCACCCTGCCTATTTCTGCCGTGAAGCAGTAATGCGTTTCGGTTTGAAGAATAAGGCAGCCGTTGTAACTATACTTGAGAGCTTAGAACTTATATCTCAAGGTGGGTGGCGCATTTACGTTGTAGATGTCTATGGGCTCCAGTAACCAGCTAACACAAGGTGGGCTGTGAGCTCGTCCACCCATCTAAGCAATAAAATCGTTACTGTAAATATTCTTTGCTAAAATCGTCTGATATACAAACGCTTATGGTAGAGCTCAAAAGCGTACCCGTGCGAGTCGCGGGTAGGCACCATCGTTCTACCCAGCTCCGTCGTGAAGCAGTCAAGGGTATAGGTTCGAAGGCCGTCGTACAATACAATTGAAACCCGACCTCATGTCCGGAAGGGTCACATCGACCGGCACGTGAGGGTGCGAACAATATCGCATCGTGATTTGAATGATTTTTTTTATTGCTTAAATGAGTGGACGAGCTCGCAGCCCACCTGGTGTTAACTGGTTACTGGAGCGTATAGATATCTACGACGTAAATGCGCCACTGACCTTGAGATATAAGTTCTAAGGTCTCGAGTATAGTTACAACGGCTGCCCCGCCCTTCAAACCGAAACGCATTACTGCTTCACGGCAGAAACAGGCAGGGTGGTGCTACCTACCCGCGCGGACTCACAAGAGGTCCTACGTTACCACCAGTAAAATTTGAAATTTCGCGGAAATAACCTGGATTGACACGTTGGGAAACGCCGGGAGTATCTGATGAAGTAAACACGATGTAGTTTGTGATTATATTCCCTCTTAGTTTACGCGCAAAGGACTGACAAAAGTCACTCTTTATACCGTGCGATTGGAGCTTGTTCTATTTCGTTCTGAAGTAAGAATCTGACGCGGATCCCATCGTTGGGCCTCACATCTTGTCAATAGCGAATGCTCGTATTCCAGAGGTCTGCAGTCTCGGATAGAAGGCGAGCACAAGTTCGCCGTGATCCGCGGCACGGAGGTCAAACAGGTGCCCATCAGCGAGATCGTCGTCGGCGACATATGTCAGATCAAGTACGGAGATCTGCTTCCGGCCGACGGTATCCTGCTGCAGAGCAACGATCTTAAGGTAGGTTTATGTGCTTGCTGATCAGCAGATCTTCGAGTCCCACATACTTCGGGACCTCGTAAGAGGTTCGGACCTCGCCCGAAAAAAAAAAACGTTTATATTTTGTTTGTGTGTTCGGTTTTCTTAGACTGTACTGATTGTGTTCAGTGTGCTTAGTGCGAGTTTCTTAACGTTTTCGATAACGTAAAAGTTAAGTCAAATTTGTATGCAGTTGAAACAGCGCCCCTAGCGGCAAACGTAGGCACACGTTCCAACTCCATGCAAATTTAGTTAACTTTAACGCTATCGAGAACGTTAAAAAACTCGCACTAAGCACACTGATCCCGCAGATGGATACCAAATTTTTCCAATGTAATGTGTTTTTATCGTTTTTTTTTATTGTCTAGTTGTCAGATGATTACCGGAATTCGTATGTATTACAACGTAAACAAGGCCACCCACCTTGAGACATGAGGTCGAGTAACGATTGTATGTTGTAATATTCGACGAAAATCAACTCTTAATGATTTCCAATTCATTATCAAAATCAAAAAAAAAAAAGACGCGCTCAACATTTAATCCCCGCACGTTATAGTGCGAATAAATATATGTTCTTCCTTTAAATGTAAATATATTTCGCAACAGACGCAACATTAACAAAGTTATCTAAAGCGATATCGTTAATCGGCAGGTAGCAATAATTTACGTGTACACAATATGTATGCGATCGCTGATATTGGCCTAGGGGTGCCTGTTTAATGTTTTTAAAAATTATAATTTGATTTTTATGGCACAGATGAGTGAACGCCTCTCGTTAAGAAGTTAACGTTTTTTTTTATTGCTTAGATGAGTGGACGAGCTCAGCCCACCTGATGTTAAGTGGTTACTGGAACCCATAGACATCTACAACGTAAATGCGCCACCCACCTTGAGATATAAGTTCTAAGGTCTCAGTATAGTTACAACGGCTGCTCCACCCTTCAAACCGAAACGCATTATTGCTTCACGGCTGAAATAAGCGGGGCGGTGGTACTTACCCGTGCGGACTCACAAAAGGTCCTACCACCAGTAATTACGCAAATTATAATTGTGTAACGTGGCCTATAGAACGTGACTTCCGCATGACTTCAAAGTCTCTACTCTGATTCATAACGGCTTTCATACCCTTCAACCTCTTCGCGCCTTATACTGGTAGGACGGTGGTACCCACACGTTAAGACTGCGAATACCTCCTTTCGCCATTAGTGCCTATATCCTGGTATAAGACTCAGATAAAGCTGGTTCCCTTTCTCCGTTGAATCCCTTAGTACCCCTTCCGACATTTGCGGGATAGGGTGGATGGTGCTCTAAGCGGAAACCTGTTGATCCAAATTGATAGCAATTACGTGTAGAATGGGGATCGCAGCGCATAAAAAAAAATTTCAATGTTCCAAAATTTTCTCTTTAATAAAAAAAATAATTAACACTTTTATTACGCCTTGCTCATCATCGTTTTAAACGTCTTCGCCATCTTCTTCTTTTCTCTGTCATTCTCTATTCTCTTTCTTTCCGTTTTCTCTCACTCATATCTTAACGCTCCGTTCCACACTGTTTTCATACGTTCCATTCTTACCAATCCTACATACGTATATGATTACATTTACCATCCACTCTGGATTAGGATCTAGACTGACCAAGGTCTTTGGTTCGAAGGTTACGAACTCAAATTCAGTACAGCCCTGCAGTAAATATTTTTTATAAGAGCTAATACTTATCAATAGTGATTTTTGATAAAATTCATTATTTTCATTCTCGCGTACTGCAAACAGGCCACGCTGTTACGATGCGTGTCATAAATTCGGAACGCACAACCCTACATCCGCGATACTACAATAACCTTATCAATATAATTTATTGGGTTATCTGTTCTCATTGCTTACGTAATACGGATTAATTGATATTAGTAAAGTATCCGGACGCGTTTAAGTTTATAAATTAATTGTATATATATTAATTACTTCCCACACACCCTGTATAGCTAACGTACATGAAAACGAAGTCGCGGAGGTGGCCGTATTGATCATTGCTGACTTGATGAGCATAATAATAGCGATCAAAGATAATTTTGCTTATTTTTTCATCATGCAGGCAATGGAATTGAAATTAATATCAACGTATGCGCGGGGTCAACGCACCTACGTGTCTTTAACTCGGCTTTTCATTGCGGGCATTCACAAAATATGAAGATGGTCCACTTGTGTTACGACGAATGTTTGTGTTTTCTTAAATCTTCTGATTGACGATTTGGGTCCCCTAATAAGAACACCCTGTATTTTTCATCGTTATATCGACATTACATTTAATTGTTAGTATATAAGAAGTCCACGGCTGAATAATAGATTATTGATTAGAATAGATTATTATGAATAATAGATTTACAGGTGCGTCTTCAAATCTAGCAAATTCAATATATTCAAAACGGGTGTCTCTAGCCGATGTAGCGCGATGTGTAATCACCAGCACCCTCTAGCGGTCAAAATCGAATAGGTACAAATGTAACAGGTTCATTGAAATTTCTGAGACTGGCGCTCACACCCTTTACCTTATTAAGTTAAAGCCTCTGCATAGATACTAGGCGTACTCCCTGTTTCAATTTTCCCCTTTATAAACATTATTGCATTTCTAGGCAGTAACTCCAAATTCGAATAAAAAATATACATATTATATAAAACATACTTATTGTTCCGTATTGTGTACAGCGAAAGTCCTGTTAGAATCATCGACAACATTTTTTCTGATTATTTCAAACAAACAACCAGACAATTTAACTGTAATGTACATTATCAACGTCAACGGACACTTCACGAAAAAAAAATAAAAAAATATATATTTCAAAATCAGATAATTCCGAATCCGCCTGATACGACTCTAGTAATTTGATAACGTAATTATAAAAGTCGAATGCAGTATTTTTATCTACGCACGTAAGTGTTTGTACAATTTATAAGGAATCATGTTGTCGCGTGATTGTGTGAAGTGTCTTTATCGGGATGACATAATAGTTTTTTTTAGTACACTAGCGATTCCGCTGCTTTGATATTCGAGATTGTCCTATACTATAGAGTTTTTAAATACTGTACAATGTCAAAGTTACCGGAATCCGTGGACGTCATTAATCAAGGAATAAAAAATCTGAGTATTAATATCACAACAGTGCAAATTATGGTTTCGCTTCGTTATTATTTTTAAATCGACAAGTATCTTGGAATTCTTAAATAATTAAGATAACGAGCCTTCAAATATGGGCACGTGTCAAGAAAGAGATGACACCGCCATGCGCAGCTATAGCTAAGATGTTCCCCTCACCGGTACCCACCATTACGGTCACCGTCCTCGCCGAACCCGTCGCTTGCGACGAATGGCTCGGCGAGTAAATTAACCCACACAGCCCGCTGAGTTTCTCGCCGGATCTTCTCAGTGGATCGCGTTTCCGATCCGGTGGTTAGATTCTGCGAAGCACTGCTCTTGCTAGGGCCAGTGTTAGCAACACCTCCTGGGTTGAACCCCGAGAGCTCACCTCCACGCTAGGGAAAGTTAAACTTTAAGATATTTTACCGAGAATATATTTTCAAACACACGAAGGAAACGTATCTATTGTTCTATCGCGCGTTCCGTGGTCTTTACATTCGTCATCGCCGATAAAGAATCCACTACAATCGCCTATAAAGGTGCGCTGTGCTAATAACTCGTTGGAATCCCGCCAATCGACGTGACAACTATTTACGCACCGCCGATAGATGCGCTCGTTACTTGCTACATCAGAGCGGCGCCATAACACTAACCCAGTGTTTGAACCGGAGTTGACTCTTAAGTCAGTCGCCCTAGGTTGTTAAACCAGAGCCGGTAGACCTCACAGTTATTTTTTTTCTATTGCTTAGATGGGTGGACAAGCTCACAGCCCGCCTGGTGTTAAGTGGTTAGTGGAGCCCATAGACATCTACGACGTAAATGCGCCACCCACCTTGAGATACAAGTTCTAAGGTCTCAAGTATAGTTACAACGGTCGCCTCGCCCTTCAAACCGAAACGCATTACTGCTTCACGGCAGAAATAGGCAGGGTGGTAGTACCTACCCGTGCGGGCTAACAAGAGGTCCTGCCACCAGTAAAAAAGTAACAGTAAAAGAGGACTGACAAGTCCGCCACCACTCAGCTTGAGAGTTGGTTGAAGTCTCAACAGTAGTGTGATGGCTGTTCCACCTTTCTGATCTGAAAGCGTGCCTATTCCACAGCAGATATAGTCAGGACTGCGTTACTGGGTCTAGGTGATCGTAGTACGAAAGCCATACTAATAACGTTTTCTACTAAAATGAGTATCTTCCTTTTATTTATGATGCAAACGCAATTAGTTGTGTGGTGGGTGGCATCGTAATGTCTATGATCTCTGATAACCAATTAACACTAGATGACCCGTGAGCTCACCGGTCCATCAGCAACAATCAGCCGTTAGCAGTAAAACAAAGCTTTAATTTCCTAGATTGACGAGTCATCCCTGACGGGAGAATCGGACCATGTCAAGAAGGGTGAAACATTTGATCCCATGGTGCTATCCGGTACACACGTTATGGAAGGTGAGCTATCCTATACTGATGTTATCAATGGCCAAATTTGTTGGCCTGTCCATAATCGGCTCTAGATTAAATTATAGTTTTTGTATCGACAACATTGGTTACTTTTTTACAGCTATAAGAAACCTTGGTCTGGCATCACGTGACAAACACGTCATTTCGGATCCTCCCGATCCACTAACGGTGCTTTTAGGTACCTCAAGCACCGGTCATCGTTCTCGTCGAACCCGTCGCTTGCGACGAAGGGCTCGGCGAGTAAATTACCCACAGACACAGCCCACTGAGTTTCTCGCCGGATCTTTCTCTCAGTGGGTCGCATTTCCGATCCGGTGATAGATTCTGCGAAACACGGCTCTTGCTAGGGTTCGTGCTAGTAACGTCGTCAGGCTTGAGCATCATGAGCTCACCTATCTGTTAGGGTGAAGCTGAAATAGCCTCTCAAGGTAGGAAAAGAAAGTGACAAGTAGACTCAACATTGATCACAAATGACTTCCAGGTTCCGGCAAGATGTTAGTGACAGCCGTGGGGGTGAACTCCCAGGCCGGCATCATTTTCACGCTGCTCGGTGCTGCTGTCGACAAGCAGGAGAAGGAAATTAAACAGAAGAAGAAAGGTCAGTTCCTCCTCGCCACGCCTGTCGTACGATTCCACTTCGCTATAGTTTACATCTACCCCTCGTTATACCGACCCCCTCCCCTAGTAAGTTGGTTGCGGGCTTCTTGTGATTAAAAACTCAACGATCCGAACAGTTTGTGCGCTTCGTTTAACATTTCGCCCGCGAATACGGGCAAAATCCAACATAGTAAGAACATTCGAGAATTTCCGACTCTGAATTTTGAGGTCGCCCGTTGCCAAGCGCAGCCGCCGCAGACATTGCTCATTTAGTCGCAGCCGGGACAGCTCGTGTGCTTTTGTTGAGTGAGCTGAGCTTGCGTGAAAGCGGACACATCATCGAGCTTTAAAGTTTTTCGAGCGTCACAGAGATAGCGTGACTGACTGTGGTTTTTAAAAACGACATTTGTGTTTGGGTTGTTTTTTTTTTTTTCAAAATTTTGTCTACTAAATTACATGTTGTTCAGCGTTATCATTGTACTCATTTTAAATAAAATATATAAAAAAAATATTAAATAAATAATGTTGATACTAAAAGCTGAATACATTCATACAATTAGTAAACTAAATGAGCATTGTACTAAACCTGCTTCGTTGGATTAGCGGTCCCCCCGTCTACAGGGCGGCCCCCTCTGGGGATCGATCTATAATTAAATGAAATTAGTAACTTAAATAAAATTTATAAAAAATACAGTATGTCAGTTAATCTTTTAACTGTAATTTCGTTAAAGACATTGAACTTAAAAGTTAATAATTCATTACAAACTTTTACTACAAATCAAAAAGTTACTCACTTCATTTAAGTCACGAGATTATTTTATTAATTAAACTAGTATTGTAATGTTTTATTTTCGTAGCGTTCGTATTGCATCTTAAATTTAAGGGTCTTGTTAAACGTTGTACGTTTGTATGGTTAACTAATCGGCTGATGTATTCGTGGCATGGTGACGTATTTTAAACAATAAAGTAATCTCTGTGAATACAGAATATATATCAGGAAGCGCCAACATTAAAGCATTTTAGAACGTTTTAGCGATTACGGCTTCAAACGAAATTGAACCCTATATCATATAGTTCGTAAAGTCGTAAATGCTGAAACGCCACGTTACCTAGACCTAGAGCTATAGTGTGACCCGTTCAATGACATCCGAATTTTGTTTCTATCCCCCCCCGGCTCGCTGCACGCCCTCCGCCCTCCGCCCCCCGTCGCTCGACGAAAATAAAAAAAAAAAACAAAAAAAATCACATCAAACCTCCACATCTGCATCGTGTTTATGTCGTGTTGACTGCATGATGTGAAACAATTACTACATCCATATTCAATATTTGTCACGTGTCCGCTTGTATGGATTGTGGTAGAGGAGAGAAAGCAGCAACGCAAAGGGACCCAGCGCAAGAGCATCCCCGGTAAGTACTTCCTCGCTAGACCCTCGCTTTCGACATTTAACCTCTGGCTTCCGACCTTTGACCTCTGGCTTCCGACCTTTGACCTCTAGCTTCCGACCTTACAGAACTTTGGGCTTGTATGTGATTTCTGATTCTTACAGGAAACGCTAATACGTTGAATCTTTTTGTCGCTTACTTTCTTAACTTATTCAAATCAAGTTGGAGATGAAACATTCAGTTTTCTAATTTTCTTGTCACACATTATTTTTTCCTGTTTCCAAAAGAATTTCTAATTGAGGAAAAAAGGGCTATTTCTCTGCTTCGTCTGTGGCTTTGGGGCATTATGTTTGCATCGCGTCGGCACTTACTGCCTCCTTCCAAAACGATCTTCAACATACAGTGCAACCTTAATATAACGAACCTCAATATAACGACGTCCTCGATTGAACAAATTTTTCGTAAATTCAATTGTCCATAAGAGTCAGTGTCAAATATACCTTTAAATCTCTTGCGAACAATCTCTTTATAGCATTTTCAACTATTAAAACAACCTCTAATTAATTTTGTCAACCCAAAACCTTTATGTAACGATTCCACCAATATGACCCTTAAGCCCATAGTATGTGAATCCAGTGGTACCTACCTACACAGGTATCTACCTACCCGTGCGGACTCACAAGTGGTCCTACCACCAGTAATTACGCAAATTATAATTTCGCGTTTGATTTTTATTACACTTGAAGTGAAGGAATCACCGTGGAAGTCAACCGTGAACATTTGCTGAGTACATATTTCATTAGAAAAATTGGTACCCGCCTGAGATTCGAACACCGGTGCATCGCTCAATACGAACGCACCAGACGTCTTATCCTTTAGGCCACGGCGACTGATGTAACGAATATCCACTTGTTCCCTTCCGATTTGTTATATCGAGGTTGTACTGTATATATAGATTCAGTGTATTCGACTATGATGATACTGAGAGTGTAGTTAGTAATAATCGCAGGAGATTTTTCAGTTTTTTATTTATTTCTTTACTTACTATTTATTTTGCTCTCTCTGTCTTTTGTGTCTCGTAAATGTTGTGATTTTTTTTTCTCTCTTTAAGTACACTACACCTCTACATACATACAATACAATACGGTTATCGATTTCATTTACTTATACAATTAGCTAACCAATTAATAATCACTATATTAACTTGCTGGTTTCACTATTAAAATTAAAAAAGTTAACATTGATTCTAGTTTAATAAACTTTGTGTGTATATATTTAAATTCTGTATTAATAAATGTAAATTTTAATTCTTGTGTATCGTTATATTCGTCGATTTTGAACAAGAAACAGCACTAAATAGCGTTCTTCCCCTTCTAATATTTCAGTGCGAATGTTATTTTTAACAAAGAGATTAATTTTTATCAATGAATAAACTTTAATGATCCAAGATAACATTAAAAGATGGCGACTCATTCTATCGTTTTGTTGTAATGCAAGATTTCATTGCTTATTATAATTATCTACTCATAGTATAGTATGTATATAGTATCTTGCTAATACTGTGAAACTTGTTGCAACTACCACAGTAACTATGGCGGGTGAACTACAATTTTAAAAGATCTAACGCAGATTATTGGTATTTCATTTATATCTTTTTGAAAATTAAAGAATTTAATGGTAAGAGATGATAGACGATACAAGCAGGACGTAAACGTGACCAAACCTTGGTGAGGGGTCAAAGTTAATTGTATATTAGTGAGTTACAAACCAGAAGGTACGATTATTTCGAAATACAGAACTAGGGGAGGTTCGAAGATGAAGCCGAGAACGTAATAGTGGTTGCAGACGTATCATGGATGTGGTATCTGCATTGGCTGAACAACACTGCTGCAATCTTGCATTACAAACAAACATTAAGGAATCAGTCGCCATCTCAACACGAGGCCGACACGATCCGTCAGTGTCGTCCACCGTGGGTAAGCGTTGTTGTCGGCGCAGGTGAGGAGGAGGGAGTGGGGGGCGTGGGCGCCAACCACGCGCCGCCCGACGACAACCACGCGCCGCCCGCCGCCGACAAGCCGCCGCCAGAGCCGCAACACAAGAAGGAGAAGTCCGTGCTGCAGGCCAAACTTACCAAGCTCGCTATACAGGTAAGCACAGCCGATCATTCGTACAGCTCTTTTACATGCATCAGGATCACACTGACTATGATGGCACATGAGAATATGTCTCATTATCCGGAGTAAAATTTCTAAAATTCGTCCAAAGCGTGAATTGCGGTAGGCAGCGGCTTGGCTCTGCCCCTGGCATTGCTGAAGTCCATGGGCGACGGTAACCACTCGCCATCAGGTGGGCCGTATGCTCGTCTGCCTACAAGGGCAACAAAATAAAATAAAAAAGTATTCGGCATATGTTGGACGTAAACATGAATCCATACACTTTTTAGAACGTACATACAGCAATCATCTAAACATCACCCGATACTTGAAGGTTTTTTGGCGTCATCATTTAGTTTTTGATGACTGCTTAAAATCGTTTTTACATGATTCTCGCTTTCAGGGACTTCTACACGAACTACTGGAGATATTAAAAAAAAATGATACTTTGAAAGTGAGAAACATATTTGTTAAAATGCTCTTCTCGTGTCTACAGTTATAATTCTGCAAATCTGTTTAAAGTTTTACATAAAACCCAACGCGCGCCCTGCAAGCTGTATTACAGTAATACTAACGCCTGAACTTACAATTAATTCCAGATCGGTTACGCCGGCTCGACGATCGCCGTCCTCACGGTCATAATCCTGGTCATACAGTTCTGCGTCCGGACGTTCGCCATAGAGGGCAAGCCGTGGAAGGCGACCTACATCAACAACCTGGTGAAGCACCTCATCATCGGTGTGACGGTGCTGGTCGTCGCCGTGCCCGAGGGGCTGCCGCTCGCTGTCACACTCTCGCTTGCTTATTCCGTAAAGGTTAGAACGAGACGGCCGGTCCTGTAATTTAAACATACGTGTCAAAACAGAATGGGATTTATGTATGTGAACTTTTTTTTATTGCTTAAGATGGGTTGATGAGCTCACAACCCACCTGGTGTTAAGTGGTTACTGGAGCCCACAAACATCTTCAACGTAAAAGCGCCATCCACCTTGAGATATAAGTTCTAAGATCTCAGTATAGTTACAACGGCTGCACCACCTCAAACCGAAACGCATTACTGCTTTACGGCAGTAATAGGCAGAGGTACCTACCCGTGCGGACTCACAAGAGGTCTACTACCAGTAAAAACTTTAACCAATAACAGAAAATGATGAAAGACAACAATCTGGTGCGCCACCTGGACGCCTGCGAGACCATGGGCAACGCCACCGCCATCTGCTCGGACAAGACCGGCACGCTCACCACCAACCGCATGACGGTCGTGCAGTCGTACATCTGCGAGAAGCTGTGCAAGGTGACGCCCAACTACCGCGACATCCCGCCGCCCGTCGCCGACCTCATCGTGCAGGGCGTGGCGCTCAACTCCGCCTTCACCTCCAGGATCATGGTGAGTGGAATCTTTTTTTTTAAAGGATTTTATGACCTGGTAGCTAAGACCTTTAAGTCATGTCTCATTTTAATTTATATTCTTATTTTTATGAAAAATGATATTATGCAGTGAAATGAAATGAAATGAAGATGATATAGGATGAAATATAATCTCAGTAAATTGGTGGTCATTTACTGAGATTTTTTTCAGTGGACTTTTTGGAGGATCCCGACGAGTTACGTCCAGCGGCTTTGTTTCATTTTCCCACATTTGTGCATTTTCACAGATATTAAATAGTTAATAAATCACCGTTATTACACATTTAAACCTGAATAAACACTAAATAGACAAAATAAAACAAATCACACAACTTCACTCCTCGCGTTCCCGCCAAAAAGTCCCGTGAGTGGATTCCGGCACTTTATATAAAACTACCCGCTTGTTGCAATCCTAAGCGAATATCTGGTCAAGGTCTGAGTGTTTACGTCAAGGTAAACACTCAGATTAACATGTGCATTATTGCATAGAACATATCAAGAGGCACATAGTTATGAACAAAAATAAAAACTAAACTATTACGACTTTCAGCCATCACAAGATCCAACGATGCCATCCATGCAAGTCGGTAACAAAACTGAATGCGCCCTTCTCGGATTCGTCCTGGCTCTAGGGCAGAGCTACGAAGCCGTCAGAGAAAGTCATCCTGAAGAGTCGTTCACCAGGGTGTACACCTTCAACTCGGTGCGGAAGAGCATGTCCACCGTCATACCGCACAACGGCGGCTACAGGCTCTACACTAAGGGAGCTTCGGAGATCGTGCTTAAAAAGTATGTAACTTGCGCCGCAACCCTGACTGTCCGCGGACACTGGCAACCCTGGCAGTGAACGGTCCAGGGGCTTTGTATGGCGACCTTAGGAATAACGAGTAGTTCGCCACTTAATTAACACCTTATTGTCCTCTCATACTTTGTCGTTCATATAGTATTTTTTTTATTGTTTAGATGGGTGGACGAGCTCACAGCCCAACTGGTGTTAAGTGGTTACTAGAACCCATAGACATACACAACATAAATGCGTCACCCACTTTGAGATATAAGTTCTAAGGTCTCAGAATAGTTATAACGCATTACTGCTTCACGGCAGAAATAGGCGGGGTGGTGGTACCTACCCGCGCGGACTCACAACAGGTCCTACCACCAGTAAAATACTTACTTCCTCAGTTTGACATTTAGTAGCTCACATTTGTGTTCGTTGGTCGACAGAGTTTCTGTAATTGTCGAAATGGTAAGACGTACTCGATTTAATAAAAGCATGAAAAGCTTCGAAGAAGTAGTTGGTGTCGAGAGTAGGGTGTAGCTACAGCTGTAGCGCTGTGCAGGTGCGCCTTCATCTACGGGCACGAGGGCCGCCTGGAGAAGTTCACGCGCGACATGCAGGAGCGGCTCGTGCGCCAGGTCATCGAGCCCATGGCCTGCGACGGGCTGCGGACCATCTCCGTGGCCTACCGGGACTTCGTGCCCGGGAAGGCGGACATCAACCAGGTAAGGGCGCGCGGAGGAGCCCCCCGCCCCTCCCGCGCCGCCCCCCCTCACGCCCCCCTGTGTCGCAGGTGCACGTGGACCAGGAGCCGCACTGGGACGACGAGGACAACATCGTGAACAACCTGACCTGCCTCTGCGTTGTAGGGATCGAGGACCCCGTGAGGCCCGAGGTAAGCCAACATTGTTTGTTCTCAAAACTAATTTTCTTAATTATTTTTAATTCCTTATTTCTTACTATTTTTTATTATAAACCCGGCAGACTTCGTAGTGCCTCAGTCGATAAATAAAAGATCTAAACTTTTGTATAAAGTAAACTTAAAAAAACAAAAGGAATCCGTCCTACGGGGGACACATCAAAGGAAAATTGTTTGTTTTATATAATTCCGAGCATTTTCATATTTTTTCAAACCTTTTAAACCTTCTCTGGACTTCCACGAATAATTCAAGACTAAAATTAGCCAAATTGGTTTAGCCGTTCTCGAGTTTTAGCGAGACTAACGAACAGCAATTAATTTTTATATATATAGATAACTATTTCGAATAATAAAAGGTCTGTCTAACAATAACCATCATCATCATTCATCATTATCCTGCCCTTCTCCCAGTTACCTGGAGTCGGCGCAACATGTTTTCTCCTTCGATACTCTTCTATCATATACCATTTCTTCGCTCACTCCCCTCCTACCCATATCGTCTTTCACGCAATTCATACACTTCTTCTTAGGCCCACTCTTCTTCTATATCCTTCCACATTCATAGTTAACACTCTCTTACTAACCTCATTTTCATTTCATCTCATCACATGTCTGGCTAACAAAAACCGTTATCACGATTTCTGTATGGTAATGTACCACGACAACGCTGCAGGTTCCAGAGGCCATCCGCAAGTGTCAGAAGGCCGGCATCACGGTGCGCATGGTGACGGGAGACAACGTGAACACCGCGCGCTCCATCGCCATGAAGTGCGGCATCCTCAGGCCCACGGACGACTTCCTGGTGCTCGAGGGGAAGGAGTTCAACCGACGCATTCGGGACGCCAACGGAGAGGTGAGCCGACCCCCCAACCCCCCTCGGTGCCAAGGATGCACGCTCAGTAAATCCTCGAAATATTAATATTTGGGATTCTCAAATTCTAATGAAGTGATCATAATATTTCGTCGATTGTCAAATCAAAATCTGCTATGTGCATTTTTTTTAATTTTTTACCTTTTTAACTTTTCGTATAGTTCACAGCCCTGTCTACCGTATAAAAAAACTGTTATGTGTCTATAGCTTTCATTTGATATATAGTTCTTAAAAATTCACTTTCATATCAAATTTTATACGAAATTGTATTTACACGTTAATTCAAAATAAAGTTTTTGCACATAGCAGATTTCGGTTTGACGGCGACGATTTGTTTAGTTAAACACTATGAATGCTAATGCGCCTCGCCACGTGTGCAGGTGCAGCAGCAGCTGGTGGACAAGGTGTGGCCCAGCCTGCGCGTGCTGGCGCGCTCGTCGCCCACGGACAAGTACACGCTCGTCAAGGGCATGATCGAGTCCAAGGCCTTCGACACGCGCGAGGTGGTGGCCGTCACCGGGGACGGGACCAACGACGGACCCGCGCTCAAGAAGGCCGACGTCGGATTCGCCATGGTGCGCCGCCACTACACGCACGCACATACAAACACTCATACATACACACGCTCATACACACATACAACGGTCATACACTCACACACACACGCCGAAATACCAGCACCTACCATGCATTATCTCTGCACCACCCTATGGTCGACTGGAAAAGAATGCCCATGGCATTAAGTCCGCCTGTGTACAACTTTTGTTTTGTGCATAGAGTATAAATAAATAAATACACACACACGCATCTACACACGCGCACACGCACACATACACCCAATATTTCTGTTCTACCAAGTAGTAAGCGTTTATTTTACCAAACATTAAAAAACGAAGGTTATCAATTTACCACGTGCTCAGTATAAAATTGAAACATCTACGGAGAAATGAGCGCGCCGCCCGCACGCGCTCCGAGCTGTGCATATGCTGCATATGCTGCACACGGAACTGCTCTGTCGGAAAAAGCTCGCCAGTAGTTTAATTCCAAAAAAAAAGTGGGTAAATGAAGGTATTTGACAAAAACCTTAATCGCGCCAAGTTCCGAACAGCGCCCCGGGACCGCCGACCCTGTCTCTGTATTATTCAATACTTTAAAAAAAGCACACAAATGATCATAAAATTTTGCTATTTTTAATATTTTTATTCTGACATTTAAAAAACAGCTGAGTCGTCAACGTAACCTGGCGAGACTCTTTCCATTGCGGATAGTATTTGTAGTTTGTTATTTGTTGTTCGCATTCACCGGATATTTCACTCCGAACATATAAAAGACAAACACACCATTTGAACAATATCTATAATGTGTACAATGTGTAAAATTACGTTTTTACAATCAACTTAAATCGACGCGCGCGAATCTCGTTGCATGACTTTTTTTTTTGGTTGCTTAGATGAATGGGCGAGCTCACGGCCCACCTGGTGTTAAGTGGTTACTGGAGCCCATGGACATCTACAACGTAAATGCGCCACCCACCTTGAGATACAAGTTCTAAGGTCTCAATTATAGTTACAACGGCTGCCCCACCCTTCAAACCGAAACGCATTACTACTTCACGGCAGAAATAAGCAAGGTGGAGGTACCTACCCGCGCGGACTCACAAGAGGTCCTACCACCAGTAGAAACGTCACGGGACACCTGCGCGTTCGGGAACTCCGATCACGCCCGATGACGCCCGAGTGCGACCGAATGTTGCATGCTGCATATTAATCAATTAGTGAATAAAAAATGAGCAAGACGTTCGCTGTGGTCCCAGGGCATCGCCGGCACGGACGTGGCTAAGGAGGCGTCCGACATCATCCTGACGGACGACAACTTCTCGTCGATCGTGAAGGCGGTGATGTGGGGCCGCAACGTGTACGACTCCATCGCCAAGTTCCTGCAGTTCCAGCTCACCGTCAACGTGGTGGCCGTCATCGTGGCCTTCATCGGAGCCTGCGCCATCCAGGACAGCCCGCTCAAGGTTTTATTTTTTATATATTGCTTAGATAGGTAGACGAGGCCCACCTGGTGCTAAGTGGTTACTGGAGCCCATAGACATCCACAAGTATAGTCAAGTATAGTTACAACGGCTGCCCCGCCCTTCAAACCGAAAAGCATTACTGCTTCATGGCAGAAATAAGCAGGGTGGTGGTACCTACCCGCGCGGACTCACAAAAGGTCCTACCACCAGTAAAGAGGTCCTACTACCAGTAAGGGGTCCTACTACCAGTAAGAGGTCCTACCACCAGCGCACGCTTGCTGCGGCTCCACTCGTACGTGACTCGGATCTCCTTCGTTTCCAGGCGGTCCAGATGCTGTGGGTGAACCTGATCATGGACACGCTGGCGTCCCTGGCGCTGGCCACGGAGATGCCGACCCCGGACCTGCTGCAGCGGAAGCCATACGGACGGACCAAGCCCCTCATCTCGCGCACCATGATGAAGAACATCCTCGGACAGGCCATCTATCAGCTCTTCATCATATTCATGCTGTTGTTTGTCGGTAATTACACTGTGGATGTTTCAGTAGTGGTAGTCAGCGAGCATTGTCTTCGTTTTACTCGAATGTAAATGATAAATTACATACACGTTCCCTTCATAAAGGCACAATTAATTGATTTTGACGTGACAACGTCTTATAATTCGATGGAGCCGGTTGCATGCACGAAAAAACATGACTCATGCGGCGTTACCTCGCTCTGAGGCGTTCCATTTAAGGCTTGAAGTGCAAGCGAGAGCGCGCAACAAGCGACAAAGAGGCACAATCGGCCTCCGCGTTCGGCAACGTTCGACATCTGTCTCTCTCCTACTTGAGTGAGCGATGCATCCGCGTGGACAGCTGCTATACAATAATACATTTACATGTTTTTGTCAAGTATGAAGTTCAGTGAAAAGTGAATGCGGTGTCAATTGTCCATACAAAATATCTATCAAACAAATAAACTTAAATTTTCCCTTTGAAAAATGAAACCATTCCATCAGTATTTTCTTATGACGTTGCCACGTTCAACTATCGTCAGTAAACCGACTTTAGAGACAACCGATATTTTTGACTAAAATCGTTGAGTAGTTGATGGGGCGTGGCGGGGCGCCCCCCGTGCTCCCCGCGCTCCATGTGCTGTCTGTGTCCAGGCGACAAGATGCTGAACATCCCGTCGGGCCGGTACCAGCCGCTGGGCTCGGAGCCGACGCAGCACTTCACCATCATCTTCAACACGTTCGTGATGATGACCCTCTTCAACGAGATCAACGCCAGGAAGATCCACGGCCAGCGGAACGTGTTCGAGGGACTCTTCACCAACCCCATCTTCTATTCCATTTGGGTCGGGACTGCGCTGTCGCAGGTGGGTGCCCTCCCCCCTCCCCTCCCCCCACACGGGTGGAGCTCCAACTAACCTTGACGTGTCGTTCAGGTGGTCATCATCCAGTTCGGCGGCATGGCGTTCAGCACGGCGGGACTCACGATAGATCAGTGGCTGTGGTGCTTGTTCTTCGGAGCGGGGACCTTGGTTTGGGGCCAGCTCGTCACCACGCTACCCACTAGGAAAATACCCAAGACCCTCTCGTATGTATTGCCATTTATTTCCGTAAATTGCATTGTAAAATCAAAGTCGCAAACAACGATATCTTCGTGTTGAAATCATATTTTTAATTGGACGTTATCAAGATTGGCTTTGGTTCGTGGTGGGACATAGCTGTGTCATTTAATATTTAAACATGAATTAAGACACGAGGTCGATAAATCTAATTGTATTGCATAATCATCTGGTATGTGGAACTCAAAGGCAAGATAATAAGACCTACCCGTGTGGGCTCACTTCAGGCCCGGTGATTGGGTAAATTCGTAATTACTGGGGGGGAAAAGTAGAATTAATCAGAGACGTCATCTCCCGGTCGAGCGGGGCTGGGTCTCTGAGCGTGCGCTGCTGCAGGTGGGGTCGCGGGCAGGCCGGCCAGGAGTGCGCCCCCGCGCCGGACTACGACAACGAGCTCGACAAGAAGCCGCGCGCCGGACAGATCCTCTGGATCCGCGGACTCACGCGCCTACAGACGCAGGTATGCGCGCCGGGGGCGGGCGGGGGGACCGCGGGGGCACGCGGGGGACCGCGGGGGGACGGCCGGGCCTTGACTGTGCGCGCGTACTGGACAAGATCCAAAATTGATTCAGTCATTTTATCAATAAACTTTCATTTAAAGGCAATATTTAGAGCAACAATGACGACAAACAAACACAAAACAGTCAAGCGTCCTATTGTTTTAATAAATGTTTACAAAGGGGGAGGGGGGAATGAAGTTGTGTTGTTAAATGTGGGCAGCCGTCCCGCCCGCGCTGGTCTTGTTTCAATATGCCTCATATTGCATCAAGACCGGTTGATGTTGTAACGTGTGGATACGTTAACTTGCGGGGGTTGCTGTGGGCCACGGACCGATGTGGTGTCCAGTAGAAACCGAAAGCGCTGTATTCAGAGGGTAATTCAAAATAAATTAAATTTGATAAAAAAATAAAATGTAATACAGCGTTTTCTATTCACTGACAACCCTATGACAGACTACTCAGGGCTACCAACATACCCCCGTGAAACAATCGGCTGTGATAATAAAGACTGATAGATATTATGTACAAAAAATCTCAAAGAAGCATGTAGGAGAAGCATTTAGTATTTGCTTGAACGGATAATGCTGAATTTCCAGTTCTAGATAGGAGTTTTGCATACAGCATAATGTTGATTGAGCAGTCTGCAGGCCAACAGGGCGACCGTGGGTATCCCAACGTTAAGTTGTCGATAGCTTCCATTAAAAACTTTACTCTATACTGTTCTAATGAAGTGATATGTATCCCATTGATGACGTCACTGTTCAATAATTTCGCTGGCTCAGTTCACGATGGACACATTTAGTTTTGCATTGTGACGTCAGACCGTCCGGGTAGGTAACGTTCGAATGTGGTCCACGGACAAATCGACTATAGAACATTTGTTTGAACTACGAAGGTTCTACAGAAACTAAGCGGTTTTTTTTTTTAAAATATGTTCCATTTATTTTTCATATTACTATTAAATTTGTTTTTCTTTTGAGTTTCCTTTTTTTTTTCTTTTTTTTTTTCTTTTCATTTTTCCGTTTTCTCTCCTGTACTTCCGTTCTCGTTCGGATATTTCTGTTAAGACCTCACACAGAGAAACACTTTACAAATTAATAGTTGATGTAGTTAACGCTATTATATATAATTTTTGGCGGATGATATTAATAACGTAGATATATTTAAACACATCCTTGTTCGGTCACTAATTTTGCATAATGACGTTCTTGTAGCGAGTAGATTAGCTTCCGTCTCTTTTTAGCCTTCAAAACGAAATTGGCTACCGAACAAACAACGCAATAATTAGTCGTTTTTTTTAAATTAGTGTTTATTTTCCAAAGTAAAATGCCTTTTGTTTGACGTTGTTTATCTCGCGCCCGGTCTCACGGCGCATTTTATTTTGACCCGACAACAGAAGCATAAAGTCGGATGTCTGGGACAGTATCAAACTGTACGGTGGGCGTACTGTGTGCGATCGAAAATTCCAGAAGAACGGAACTAGTCGCGAGTTGCTTAAGAGATCACATCCGACCTTATGGCTTTGTTGTTCTGGTCGTGTTGTGGGAGCGGGGACCCGTCCTGGCCGCGAGCGCCGCAATGCATGCCGTACAGAGTACAGTCTGACGCTTCCCTCGCGCGCGCCGCGCAATGTACAGCGCATTGTACAGTGCAATGTACAGCGCAATGTACAGCGCATTGTACAGTGCATTGTACAGCGCAGTGCGCGGGCGGGCCCCACCGGCATGCTCGTGTAGGCTGTGACGTTACTACTACCCTCAAACAGTGACTATGACTACCCCTATAGATAGATAGATTATACGTCTCTCTCACTCAACATGTACACCGCGGATATGGCTATCTCTATCTCTGTCTGTCCTATTTATTTTTTTATCTCTTAGTCATACTGACTGTTTGATTTTTTCTACTTTTTACATATGTATGTATTTAATTTTTTTGGTTTTGTTTTAATTTGATTTGATTTTAATGTATGTTTTTTGGATTATGTCAAAGATTAGTATTATGCTTGTGAAACGCAAACCTCCCTTGCTACTGACCCAACGCCCCAACGCTCATAGCTCGAGTACGCGAACCGAACCCAAAGGCCGCACGGCGTCTTACTAACACGCGTCACCGACCTCAAGCAGTAACAAAAGTCTCCATCCACTTTAAATGTTATTATTTCTGTAATTATTTTGATTTGTTATGTTACTGCTCAGCGATGCGTTTACTTGAGTGTGGAGTGGAGTCGCGCGTCCGGCGCCGGCCAGACTCGGTGTTGTCACTGTTGTTTTGTGTTACCTTTTTGTTGTTAACTTATAATTTTGTTTGTTTTGTTGTTGTTTGTTTTTGTTTTATTGTTTTTTTAATTTAGTGAATGTTTTTTGTCCCTTAATGTCGGGGTGTGCCGTCAGTCAGGTGGGTGCAAGCGTCACACTGTCCCGCGAGGACTCCGCATACCGAGTAGTTGCATTAGGCTTGGAACAACATACGGCCTGTTGTGTTTATTTTGCGTTTGTGATGTTAGGCTTGTGTAGTTGTTGGTTGTGACGTCACGCGCCCCCGGGGGGCCGGCCGCGAGCGCGCCCCCCGCTGGTAAGTATCCTTCGTAAATTAACACTTTCAGTATCTTATATGTTCGTTTCTTTTGTTTTAGTTTAAAATAAACGTTTTTAGCTTTCTAACTTGTTTTTGTTAATCTGTTTTTTTTTTCTCTCCAAAGATTGTGAAAATATCGATCCACTTTACGTTTTTTAGCACGTCAATGGTAAAACAGCGGGATCTGATATTTACACAATACTAAATGGATATAAAAAAGAAAGATGTGTACTAATAAAATGTGAATTCGTTCCTCCTTGGCTCCTGACTAGATGTGTGTTTAACAAGATGTGTTGGCATGTTAGCAGTTAGTTCGGAGTGTCGGTCGCGAGTAGAGGGACGTAGCCGGTAGAGTGCGACAGCCGCTCGGGCCGAGACCTCTCGCTCACTCCCTCACATTATACTTTCGTTTTTCGTTTTAATTTCACCCCCCCAGTTTATTATTTTGGTCTTCCGGAGTCATATTCGCATCACGCGACACTCATCAACGAACACACGCCACGACGTCCGAATGCTCTGACTGCTGTGTATGTCCCCTCGGAGCCCCCGAACGATGTGCACTCCACCGGCCCGCGCCGCACTTCTCAACGTCTCTTTCATCTCCGTCGAGCCTGTCGTCAGACGAGCGCTCGGAAGGAGAGGTGCGAGTATCGGTGGAGTGTTCGCCGGTGTCGCGGGCGGGTCGTGTTGGTGACGCGGCTGTTGTTGGCCCAGGAGGGCCAGGTGTGCCAGGTGGGCCAGGCGGGCCCGGACGGCGAGCGGGAGCGATGTTGTTGGCAGCCGCGGCCCGTGCTGGAGACCGAGGTGTAGCGGCGCAGGGCTATTGTCACTCACGGTACGGTACTGTCGGCCTTCTGTCGGCCTCCTGGCTCTGAATACAGACATCCACCCCACACTCGGTAGTCGCCGCGGACAGGTCGCGGGTAGGTCGCGGACAGGTCGCGGGCAGGTCGCGGGTAGGTCGCGGGTCGGTAGGGGGGGAGCGGCCGGTGTCAGGCGTGGGTCGTGTTGTTGCAGCTGCGAGTGGTGCGCGCCTTCAAGTCGACGCTGGAGGACCTGGAGGAGCGCCTGTCGTCTCATTCGGCGGCGGCAGGGCTCCGCTCGCGGCTCAGGGCCGCGCCGCAGGACTTCGCGTACATCGACGCGGACGAACCCCGCACTGAGACCACCATATTCTGAGCCCCGGAGACCCGTCTCTGTTCTCGTCTTCTCGACCTTGCGAACTTTACTACTATAAGTGTTGAAATGTTATAACGTCAGAGCCGCCCGGTCCCGAACAGTGCCTGTCGTGGCACGCCGCGCGTCCCGCTCCCCTCTCCTCCCCTGTAGGCGCGCGACGTGACGCGTGACGCGCGGGCGTGACGCGGCGCGTGCGTCACGCGGGTAGGCCGCACTCTCGTCAGTCGGCGGCGCGCCCCGGAGCGGTGACGTTGTGTAAAGTTAGCTCGAGAGACGGACTCCGTTCGGATACAATTTTACTGTCGTTAATCATTTAGAAAACTTTGAGATTTTACTAAAAGTAAACATTATAATTGTTATTTTTCATCTAGTAGTCTTATGTAGTGGATCACCGTTGCGGCCGGACAATGAGGCCCACGGGCCCGTCTCGCCGGCAGCCGGCGTGTTTCGTTTCATAATAAATTTTGGGACCACTGCCCTTCCTGACGTACTTTTGGAATTATATATATATACATAAATACGTATCCGTACAGATTGATAACTTCGATAACTACTCGAATTCGATACATCCCCTCGAATATTGTTACGCGTTACTTAAATAAGCTTTTCCCTAAAGTTTAGTATGAATGACGACCACACTTGTGCTTCTGTTATTATTATTATTATTCTTTATTAAAGTTAAAATATTTCTTGTGTAAATTGAAAACGACGAAGTAATCTGTTCGTAACGTTCTGAGGAACTAAAAATATTTACATGTTCGAAATAAAGTTTGAAACAAAAATAGCGTAGCATTTTCTTTCGTTCAAGTTTGTAATTGTTTTGGTGGGGGCCGCCGATCTTAGAGAAATCGCTCTATTTCAGATGTTGACGGTAAGTTTAGGTCTGACTCGCATAGGGAGAGTTAATTTGTAAGTATATTGGAGACCTAACGTAGGTAGCGGATGGTAACAGTAATGTCGTTAGAGCATGGGACAGTGATGTGTGCACGATCGCCATGGCTGCCACACCCCCGGCACAGACACCTGTGCCCGGTGACGTCACCAGCCGCCATCTTGTCCGCGCCGCCTCGACAAAATGGCGGCTTCGCTTAGTTTGTAAGTACTGAGTATATATTGAACTTAACAAAATAATAATTATTAAACAATGTATATTTCTTGTTTTCGAAAAGAAATTATTTGGTACAAAATTTGTTTCTTGTATTGTTTGTAATTTTTTTTTGGATTGATTCGTTTAAATGAATATAAAAAATATTTTTTTTTTATTTAGTTTGTTTTAGAAACGTTAACCGCTTCGCATTTACAGTGTGATCATGCCTTTAATATGTTACAGTGTTATTTATGCATGTAAACAAAAGTTCTGTGAGTATGCACAATTTGTACTTTTTTTTTTTTAACGTTTTTTTTTTTTTTTTAATACGTAGTTTGCAACGGAAATCTGATAATACATTCTCTGAAGTCGTGTCCAACTGTAGTATTTATTGTCAGAATTTCGGTAACGAGTTTACAGTAACCGAGACGAAACTATTAATTTGAGTTTTCTTTTGTCATAACGTACCCTACTCGACTCAAGTATCCATGAAAAGCATTTGAATATTAAAGTAACAATCTGTATAAATAACACGTGTATGGTAATCTCCACTATCACACCTAAAATTAGTTTATTAAATATTTATTCGTTAAAAAAAAAAAAATAGAGATAGTACCTAGATTGCTTTTGAACCTCATATTATATTTTTATTCGAACATAATTTTAATTTCATCAACTCGGTTGTGTATGTAAGTACTTATTTAAATTTTGTTTTCGTATTATTATTATGATTTTTTTTTTTATAATTTTTAAAGTATTGTAACGATTAGTTATTTTTTGTTTTTAATTTTTAATACATAACCGGCACTTTAACTTTTTTAATATTGAACGCTCATTAAATAAAAGTATTATTTTGAAACATTGTTGCCTCATTTGTACACCACATAGTTAGTGCGGGACCTAACCGAGCCGGCGCCCGACGCTCACATACCGGACAAGCTAAATTATACCTTATTCTTATTATTATTTACGATACATTTTACCTTCGTAGCTGTAGAACCCGACACCTTGACGAGATTTATTTTTTCTTTTCCTAAATATTTATTTAGTATTTGCTATTGGATGCCCTCATATCCCGACCCAGCTAGCGAATGCCCTTGGATCGAACTTAAATAAGTCACAATCTAATGAAACTGCTTTTACTATCGACCTCGGGTTCCGGCCGGAGCCGCGCCGGAGCCGCGCCGGACCCGAGCCGGAGCCGCGCCGGATCCGTGCCGGAGCAGTTTCGTTTGCATTGTCGTAGCGCAGTGCGGTCACTGACGCCTCCCTCGTGTTATTTTCCAGCAAAAGGCGGACATATTGGCCGGCCGCCGGATATTTGTCAATAATTATTTGGCGGAGCACCGAAGGATCAGCGTGCAATCCGGCGGGAGCTCCCTGCCTGCCCTGAGTCCCGTTTCCTTGCAGAGCGATGAATAAAAACTTGCCCCAAAACGATACGCGGAATTAACGGCCTAACCTAGCCGCGCTAACGCACCCATCCGTGTAGCGACACAGTAACAACATTCAAAACATTAAAATATTTAGCCTTTCAAAATTACTTATTAGGTTTAAATTTCTTATTAAATATGGTGCACCGTTTAGATGGTTATATACAATAATTATATTAACAAAAATAAAATATAAAATTATTTAAAACTAAAAAAAAATTAAAAATTTACAAATTATATTTATTAAGCTAAATTTCTGTAAATAAAAAATAAATTTCAGAATAATTTTTCTCCTAAAAAAAATTTATATAATATTTCGACGATTGTGCCATTAAAATATATGATATATATATATAAAGGATAACACAACTTGTGCTACTTCAAGTGCTTTTTAAACGTTTTAAAGTGATATTTAAATTTGCTTGTTGTTTTTTTTTCTTTTGTTTTTTTTTTCTTTTCCAAATTACGCTGTAGCTTTAGGTCCTTTGCTGTCTTGTTAGTTTAGTTGTTTGTCTTCGTGTTTGTTTGTGTAGAGATCCTTTCACTAACTACAATCGAAGGATACGATTTTATTTTTTATTATTGTTATCTCTTTACAAAACTCTAGGTGCTGTTTGCATTCTTAAAACTTTTGCATGTACTTAGTAATTTCTTGTCTACCTGTGTCTGTACGTACATGGAATTGTTATCTCGACACTACACAACTGTTTACTGTCTGGTTCCGTCTCGTTATTATTTTTCTTTTCAAATTTTTCTTTACAATTTCTTTTTCAGTTCCATTCTCGTTTCCGAAAGGTTCTTCAAGCAAATTTAACTATCTCCGTGATGTCGTTTATGTTAGAGTTTAACAAATTTTATTGATATGTATAACATATTTAGGATATAATGATTACTCTTTATAACGAGTTAGTTTTCTTTCGAAGCGCACTTACGTAGTGATTTAACTCGACGCCTGCTAGACGTTTAATTAGGGGATAGCGTTTAAAAATAATCATCAATAGCGACTTTAACCAAAAACATAATAAAAATTAAATAGTTTAAAACAATACGTGACGGTGGAAACGCGGCTATTTTCGAGTCTAGTTACGATAGCTTTGTAGGTAACGCGACGCGCGCCATCCCTAACGATGCTTCATTAACTGTTAAATTTAGATAATAAAAAGTATCTATATTCCAAAGTTTTATTCATTTCAACCAACTGTGCCACGTTGTGGAGAGCCGCATTCATAAGGTAACTGGCAGTCACGCAATGTGATTTTGATGTTTCGATGTTGGTCCAAATGTTTGTTGTTGGCGGCTCTTGGCCAACATGGGCCCTGTATGTCGTAAGGCCTAGTCGATGTTAGAAACTAGCTTGACGCTTCCACGCCCTCGTTCACTTAGAGCTAACGGCACCCGCACGGACGCACGGACGCCTCTAGTCGACTTGTGACGCTGTATGTAGTGACCTGCAGTGCTGTGTCTACATGTGTAAGCTTGTGTTAATACTTAGCTTATAGAGAACGAGAATTAGACATCTGGTATGTGAGCAACGACGTCGGATAATGAGTGTGCTTATAGTCTATAGACAGCATGGATTGAACGAACACTAGCCGCCGACACACACACGGACACACACGCTAAATAAATAAATATTTATGTGATATAAACAAGAAGAATTAAAACTTACAGAATTAATGTTTGATGTTATTTTTTAAAATATTATTATTACAAGAGGATGTTAAGTTTTTTATTTATGATTATTTGTTTTTGTGTATGAAACGGAGCCCTGGATGGAAACACCCGAAGACGTAGTATATAAGTGCACTCCCTGTTTATGTGCTTTTTAAGAATATTATATCCAAATAGGAGGTACCCTGCGTTTATGTATTTTATTTTTTATTGATGTGTATATTTAATTTTTATGTTTTGATTACTTCTTCCGACAATATCGATCATCGCTTCGCGAGGCGCACCGCTTCGTAACTACCCCCCCTGAATACTTCTGTACTATCTTATGTATTTACACTCTGTGATATTTTCACTGCTGTTGACGCGTGCTCTGCTCTAAACGATAAGAATACAAAGTGAAAATAAATTACGCAACGAAACCAGGGAACACCGACCGCGCTAATTTAAATTTGACAGCTGTCAAATCTGTCAAAGCAGAAGTGGATTGATTTATTTTTGACAGCTCTCAAATCTGTCAAAGCATTTGTTGAGTAATTTATTTCGCTTTGTAATGAACACGTGACTGTGGTTAGTGACCGCGCGTTAGAGCAAGGCCCGCGTCACGTGCCGACTACCGACGGAGCCCGACGGCGCCCGGCGGAGCCTCCTGCCTTATGTCTCTTACTTCATGTTCTCGTTTTTATTTTCTTTTCCATGAATCCCAATTGCACACGGAAGGTGATAGGTGGCGAGTTACAAGAACGGTTGATACCGGTCCCCTACAGCAAGACATCCACAGATCAAGCTGTAAGACTCTTTATGGGACAGAATGCTGTTTCACTCACCTCTACTGTTTTTATGTTCTTTGAGTTTCGTTTACGTTTTGATTTTTGCGTTTTTTGGTTGTTTTTTATTTATTTCATAATATGTTCAAATGTTAATACTGTACTCTTTATCTATCGATACCTTTACAATACTATCCGCTCTGTATGTTTCCCACTCGCTTTAGGTTTCCACGTGCGATGCCTGCTTGTGTCAGTCCAGCGTCCTATGGGACTGTTTATTGTCACTCGTGCTTCCGTGCAGACCCGCCGCTGTTTCTTTATCTGGATGTTTGCAACAAGCGGGCACCCGCAGATGCATGACCGCCGAACATCATGTTGCACGCATTCTGTCGCATGCGCTGTTATATCATGTGTTACGTCCATTAAGGGGTGACGTTTGAAATGTCGTGTCTATGTCCAATTGACGAATGTTTGACCAAATTCGGTTTGGACAAACATTTCGATACAACATAATGTGTTTTAGATGCCAGAATCGACTTCAATTATTTGTTTCTTTGAATTTTCATTGTGAATAATGTATTTAGTCATAACGTTAGTTGAAGTCGATTCATTTTTAATTTCGATGTTAAATATAACTGAATGACTTTATGTTTTGGTGTTTAATTAATTATTTGTATGTGTATTCCCGGACAGTGCGAGATTTATGTATTAAATAAATACATTAACAAATATAAACTAGGGAAAGGGGCATAGATTTCTCGAATGTTAAATTCAATTTTAATTTATATTTAATGAGAAAACGATAGTAGTACCGGGTTTCCTGAGACGGCGTAAAAAAACGCTTCGCATATGTTATGTTGGCACTCATACCTCATCGCGTAGTAATTATATTTGTTTGCGTCATATGCACCAGTTTACCGCGACCTCCAGGTCTCGAGTGTCGATCTGTAACACCAGGGGTTCGTCACGGAAAGCTTCCTAAACTTATCATCTCGATTTAGAGCAATTCATATTTTGAATATAATAAAAAGCTTTTAGTTGAAAGATATATATTTGTCCATACATAAAGTGTATTTAGGCTTGAGTGAGGCGGGGAAGTGCCCGAGACAGGGTCGGGCATGCTTGGAGACTTCGCGCTTAGGAGAATCGGAGATCGATGTTGCTTCGTATGATGTGCAGTGTACCGGCAGATCTATAGAGCTTTGGTCGCGTAGCTCACATACGAGTAGAGGTGATTGTACAAATGCAGTCACAGAGTCCCCTCGCAGCACAGATGTCTGTATTCAGAGCAGAGCGGCGCCCTCCCTAGTGTCTGCATGTCGCCACGGCGCGCACCACCCCATTCTCTCATCTGTGACTGGAATTTTGAATTACCTAACGCTTTCTTGCCTCTTTTTTATGGCTCGGTGTGCTTACATTTGTACTAACTACAGTTCCTCCGGCTGAGTCACGCGACGCGCCGCGCCCACACGCTGCCTTACGATCTTACACATTACTGTTCTTCATCATTACTGAAGCAAACATTTAAAGTTCAAGAATTCGACTGGTATTTACAACCTTTAACTTTCACCACTAACAGATAAGATCACTTTTCCATCTCAAGTAACACTTTTTATTAAGGGTATCTATAATCTGTGTAAATTTGTCATGTGAGTTATTTCTTTCCACCCTTGCATACGTTCAGTCCAAGATTACTTTAGAGGTCCTCGAGAATCAGAGGTAGGGTTCGCACGGTTGTAAGTACCAGGCATGTCGTGGCGTGTCGTGGCGCGGCGCGGCGTGACGGGGCGGGGCGGGACGGAGGCGCGCAGTAACACGGCACGCGGGTGTCGCAGATCCGCGTGGTGAACGCGTTCCGGCAGGGGCTGGACTCGCGCGGCTCGCTGGCGGACGCGGCGCTGGCGGAGGCGCTCCGGAAGCAGACGGCGCTCTCGAAGCGGTACTCGCAGTCCTCGGGGGCGGAGGCCGAGCACGCGCTGGCGCCGCACGACCTGGACGTGGAGCGCCTGTCCAGCCACAGCCACACCGAGACCGCGGTGTAACGCGCCTGCACCATATCAGTATTACGCGACCGACCCACGCCGCGAGCCCTGACCTCCCGTTGTTGACTAGTGTGTTTATTGTAATCGTTCGATTGTTTTGAAATATTTTATTATTATACGCGCGTCGGTCGCGTCGCGCGTCTGTTGAACGAATAAAATGTATTGTCTAATTATTAATTTTTAGATTTAAGCGCAGGGGTGAGCGAACGGACTTGTGTTTTGCAAAAAAAATAATGATATACTTAATAAAGTTAAAAACGTATAAATCGTCGCAAACCATCGTGTCGCCTTTCACACGGAATGAAATGTTTTATATTGCTTTTGTGAAAGATGAGCGCCCGAACAGAAGCGGAGAGCGCGTCCGCTCCCGCTCCCGCTGCCGCTCGTGCGTCGGGCGCGCTCTCCGCTCGCAACATTCGACTAAATTATTAAAGTGTATTAGTTAAGGTGTTTGTTCCGAGTAACGTTTTGTTGGTTTCCCCCACTGCGTGTACGTACCGCGTGCGGTCGGGCCGCCGCCGCACCGCCGACCGCAACTGACGCTAGTCTCTTGTCAAACAAATAATTATTCAGTAATCGTAATGTAATCGTTGATCATAAATACTTGAAGTTTGTTGAAGAGTACATAGGTAGTGTACGGTGTGGATATTTTCGTGAGGGTCGGTACGGGACGGCCGGTGCCGCCGCTACAGTAGGCGAGTTAGCATCGCACTGGCATTTCATGATCGCGTGGGACGCCGAGTCGGCCGCTCGCGCGTTAGACTAAATCAAAACGATTATAGCGAATCGGCAATGTTCAATTTTGTATAGAACGTTTCATAGTAGCGATATTTGAGAGTTGTTACGTTTTATTTGGGCGACCGCCGCGGCCGCACCGACCGCGACGGCGGCCGCGGCGNCAGTAGGCGAGTTAGCATCGCACTGGCATTTCATGATCGCGTGGGACGCCGAGTCGGCCGCTCGCGCGTTAGACTAAATCAAAACGATTATAGCGAATCGGCAATGTTCAATTTTGTATAGAACGTTTCATAGTAGCGATATTTGAGAGTTGTTACGTTTTATTTGGGCGACCGCCGCGGCCGCACCGACCGCGACGGCGGCCGCGGCGATCGCGTGCTCTACTATAACTATTAAACAATCTTGTAAGTAATTAAGTATTAGCTTCGAATCAATAAAGCCTTTTTAAAAAAAACTTAGTTTAAAAATGAAACTATTGAAAACTTCACATATTTAAATAAATATAAAAATATAGTTATGATTTCAGTGAATAGAGGACATGGTATCGTTTTGTGTATATTAAACTATTTATATAAATATATATTATATATATGTATAATTTCGTTGATATTCGTTTCACGAGTTTCCCGATGAAAGACATAAATAATTAGGAGTCGTTAACGTGCCAGCGTAGTGTCGCCGGCACAACTAGCCGCGCGTCGCTTCAGTCTAACAATCAATTGTTTTTGACACAACAGTCTGCCACTAACCATTTTAGGTGATAAGTCCCATTGTTGTATTTTTCGTCTCACAATAAATGAAATCTATTTTATTGTTTTTAATATGTCGTTTTATTTTATGACCCACAAAAGAATAAGGACAAAGATACGTATAAATATATAAAAACTGCGATAATTATATTATGTACAAGTGTGGTCAGAAAACTTGGCCCGTCTGGTATTAAATGTCTACCGAAATGGCAGCGCAAAGTGAACACAGCAACCAACCTTGAGACATAAGGTTGAATTCTCAAGTTTAATTATGAAACAAGCGTAATTCAAAGTAAAACCGGCAGCATGTCTACTTCGCACCAGACAACACAACCTACCGCCAGATTTATTTAAAGAAAAGCGGGTACCTACCAATTTTTCTAATGAACTACGTACCTACTTAACAAATGTTCACGATTGACTTCCACGGTGAAGGAATAGCAATCGTGTAATAAAAATCAAATCGCAAAATTATAATTTGCGTAATTACTGGTCTGGTCTTAAGAGTACGCATGGGTAGGTACCACCACCCTGCCTATTTCTGCCGTGAAGCAGTATTGCGTTTTGGATTGAAGGCCGCGGCAGCTGTTGTACTGTTAAAAATGAGACCTTAGAATTAATATCTCAAAGTGGGTGGCTGCATTAACGTTGTAGATATCTACGGGCTCCGGTATCCACTTAACACCAGATGGGCCGTGAGCGCGTCCACCCATCTAAGCCGTAAAAAAAGATTATAAAAAAAAAATTGGTTGTCTGTAAAGCGGACGATTTACGGACGATAGTTTTGCGTGATAACGTTATAAAGAAACATTGATGAAAATTGCATACTTTTATGTATTGAATTGAATTATTATCATTATTTTCTATAATGTAAAGGAGTCAATTGAAAATTACAATTTTTTCGATAAATTAAACCTCGGCCGATCGTGCCTCTCTATCGCTTGTTCCGCGCTCTCGCTTGCACGCTCAGACACAGACGGAACGCGACACTTTTTCGTGCGTGCAGCCGATGTTCATCGATTTATAAGACGTTATCACGTCAAAATATTGCACTGTAAAGGTAAGTGCAATAATATTACAATTCGAAAAACGTACAACCTAAATAGGAATCGTAGTTCAAAAAGATGACAGTGTTCGCTGTAACTAAACCACACGGTTGCCGGCGATCATCCACACGAACGTTTTGAGAGAATTTTCACTGAATATTAATTCTTCTATAAATGTATGTTTTCATCCTGGCTAGTCCAGCTTGGTGCAACATGAGAACATTTTCCTCTTGCGAATTTGTTGTGGTAGATGGTATTCTTTATTAATAGTAATACGACGTAATATAGGCCCGCACGGGTAGGTATCACTACCCATTTTCCCGACCGGTGGCCAAACGAGGGGTATATGTGCGACTAAATAGCTGAAGATGTTAAAGGTCCACCAACTAAACGACTCGCCTGCACTCTCGCCCGAAGACCGGTCCCCGCCTCAGTTAGAATCCCAGCCTGAGGTAGCGGGGATTCCGCGGTCAACGACAGCAAAGACGCCCGACAGATGACTATTGTGCGCGCGGAATTAGTTGGCCGCGCCTTAGATACGTGAGCGGCGGGGCGGAGAGGCGGGGGCGCTTGCTGTCATTATAAGCCGCGCCAATAAAGAAACGAATCGAAAATGGCGTCTATGTACCTGCACTGACAGACGGTAGGGTCAACAAATAAAAAGAAAGATAGAAAGAAAAAGTTGTTTATTGAAAAAAATATATAAAAAAACAAATAAGAATGTACTTCGCTTTACTTCATGCCCTGGCAGAGGGGGAGGTGTCTCATCTGGGATGCAACTTGCGTACACACTTTTGCTGCCAGTCATCTAAGTCGCACAACTCGAAAGTGAACAAACTCGAATTCAACAACAAAGAACTGATATATTTTTGCATGCAGTACGCGCCGTGTGCGACTAAATACAGCAATCGTTTAGAATGAGAGCGCATGATCGTCGCCGCCATTTTAGTTTCGTTTCTTTGGCGCGGCACAGATATGAGATTTGATGCTATGATGGACGAGTCATTATAAACTTCAAGATGATTCTGAATCAAGTTCAGAGAGTTCAGAATCCAGTGATTCAGAGGATATGTTAGAATAATTTCACATAAATATAAATTAATTAAATAATTTCATATATCATTAAAATATGTAAGAATAATTTTATATACTTAATTTATTTTTAGTTTATCTTACTATTAATTACAATATAATCAGATAGGTCCAATATCAACGTCTAGAAATTGTACTGTATTTTTTTACGTATGAAATACGATTTTTTTTCTGCAACTTCACACAGTTGATTCTTCAACGTCATTTTTCAAAGTGTCTCAAGATGTCTATGGGCCGCAGTAACTACTCGACAGGGCAGAGCCACGGCCCGTCTGTGCAACGAATAAAAAAAGAAAGCATAAAAATGAAAGTAGCCACAAATAAAACCTCGTATTTTACTAAAAATATATATATTACATCACCAATTTTATAAAAATATTTGATTCATTTTAATCTTAATCAATCGCACGTATCCCCCGCCCAATAACTACAACGGTTCGAGCTAGAGTAGTCCACTTACTGAACTGAAGAACGGTAAAGCCATTAAAGCAAAGAGAAATATACAAATATAACCCTTCTGTGTATTACCTTAAAGTCGAATACGTAAATTTACAAGGACTTAAAAAAAAACTCATGTTTCTTCAATATGAATTCGAAAATTAACTAACGCTTATTATGTAGATATTTATTTATTTATTTCAGCATTTCAATTTCTTATGCAAATGAAAAATAAAATTGAACTAATAGTGTCAAAATACTAAGGTTTATTTTAAAATGAAAAACAATGTTCAATTATATCAATGCGCTAATTAAATTATTATAATTGTTTTCGAAACTAATTAAAAGGAGAGGATCCCCGGCGGGGGCTCCGGCGGCATGAAGGGCGGAGGCCGAGCTGTTGGGGGCGCCGACTCTGAAAGTATACCTTTTCTTTACAACATTCTGTTTACTGCCAGAGAGTCTAGTTATGATGTTACAACAAAATATACAGCGAATATCAACATTACAGTATTAATTATAACAGTGTCAGTAGGCATCTTAGAAGTCGTGGCCTAACGGATAAGACGTCCGGTGCATTCGTATGTAGCGATGCACCGGTGTTCGAATCCCGCCGGCGGGTACCAATTTTTCTAATGAAATACGTACTTAACAAATGTTCACGATTGACTTCCACGGTGAAGGAATAACATCGTGTAATGAAAATCAAACCCGCAAAATTATAATTTGCGTAATTATTGGTGGTAGGACCTCTTGTGAGTTCGCACGGGTAGGTACCACCGCCCTGCCTATTTCTGCCGTGAAGCAGTAATGCGTTTCGGTTTGAAGGGTGGGGCAGCCGTTGTAACTATACTGAGACCTTAGAATTTATTTCTCAAGGTGGGTGGCGCATTTGCGTTGTAGATGTATATATATGGGCTCCAGTAACCACTAAACACCAGGTGGGCTGTGAGTTCGTCCACCCATCTAAGCAATAAAAAAAAATACTTCATGGATTACTTAGCAACATCCATCTAACAGGCCCTATAGAAGCGAGGGGTCCTAATTTCGGAACTGACCAAACACAACACTGCCAATATGTCGAAAGGCCTGTACGCAAGGCGTGTGCTCACGAGTGCTCACTGCGGCACAAATTCGTGGGCACAGCGTACTCATTCTGTTGAATCCATTCTGGAAAGCCGATAAGCTTGTTTCGATATTTAATCCTTCGACTGCTGTATAGGTCACCGGTGCCCTACGTGGCGCACTGAAGTAATTAAATCGATTTTTGTTACTAAGGCGCCGGAATGTTTAGTAGACTCTGGGAAAAACGAGTCCGAAGATACTGAAAATAAATCTATATCTAAGAAACCTAAGACTATAAGACTTTAAAAAAAAAACATGTGTGCAATTCACACGTGTTAGAAGAAGAAGAAGAACCTTCAAAAATTAAAATACAATTATCCTAAATGTCTAAGTATATGTAAAATTTTGTCATTAGTAAATAATTGTAAATCATCTTTTATAGTATGAGGTAGCGCCCTCTGTGAATCGATATTTTAACGTAACGTATAATCCTAAATTAAAATTCACTACAAGAGGTTTCATACACACGTTAGTCTTAAAAAAATCTCATAGATGGCGCTGTATTAAAAAAATCACTACATTGAGACTACTAATGTGTTCTATCTCATTCTCTCGCCGGCTGAATCCTATACATTTTTGTGTTTGTGTTTCTGTGGACTTATTTTTTCGTTTCATCGAGTTTGAAATCACAACGATTCTAAAAAAGTTTCACTTCAAAGGAAATAAGGCAATTTTAGGCAATCCAGGAGTCTTAGTCACAGAAATGGACATAATTATACCAGTGCGCCGCGTAGGGCACCTGTGACCTACATGACAATCAATGGGTTAATGAATAGTATTTATGGTGTGTGGTACTGACTGGCGAGGAGGTGCTGCAGCGGCGGGGGGTCGCCGGGGGGCGGCGGCGGGGGCGGCAGCGCGTCCCACAGCGGCACGTGGTCGGGGTGCCACGCCGGGCACGGCCACGCGCAGCCCCGGGACGCCGGGGGGGCCCTGCTGCGGGCCTGCGACACAACACTCCCTGCAGTACTCGCAGCGACTCTTATAGTCTTGGTACGCGACAATCCCGTAGGGTTCCTTAACACCAGCCCCTTCTGGAGGCACTGTGTCCTCGGGGCGCCTCAGTAAGTCTTTCTCCAAACAAGTTTTGAGGAAATTCCACTTAGAATTTTAATTTTTGAGTGGACATTTATATGCTGCAGAATGTGTGACCTTCTCGCACTTACCAACACATGAGATTGATCGACAGATAAATAATTTCTAAGAGAGATAAGAGATCTAAGCAATAAAAAAAAAAGTACCTTTTTGACGGGAGGCTCCTCTATGTCGGAGTCCTGTCCGGGCTCGTAGCCGTCGGCGAAGCTCACGCGCTTGGGGGCGCGGGCCGGCTCCGCGGGGGGCCTCCTGCGGACATCCGGGCCCTTATACTCCAATACAGTAGGACGCGGAGACACATACATCGCCTTTTCGCATCAAAAGTGTACAATTTCAAAATATATTCGAAATTGAGTTAATATGAGTAAACATTTGGTATCACCAGTATTTTTCTCATAAATACTGTCAAAAGAGCGTAGTTTAGTTGTAGTTTTATTTTTTACTAACAATCACGCCACGTTAAGTGGTTCCGTGGTAAGTTCGTAAAGAACTTGTGTTACAGGTATCAGATAACGGAAATAAATATAAGATTTTTATTATACACATACATAAAATTAATATACATTAACCCTGGAAAAGACATTTATATTTATCATACAAATATGTTCTCTTGGCGGGACTCGAACCCGCGACCCTCTAGTGTAGTGACCATGTCACTTACCACTACACCAGACGGACGTTTATGTTTTGACTACTATTGACAGAATTAATATATAATTTTATTTCGTAATTTATCTTACTTTAAAAGACAGATAAAGTAAAAAAATTAATGTTATAAAGATAATTAATATTACACGTTAAACCTTTAAAACACTCCTGTAAAATTAGTAACTTTTGAGATTATACAGTTTTAATCAAGTCAATCAGACGTCTCGAAGTTCGTGAAAATTACGTTAAAAACTTCCGTTTAAAATATAATAAAAGCTTGTCTGCCGGGACAGTCCGCGGGCCGCACTCACGTGACGAGGATGCCCCTCTCCCGGCCCTCGCCCTCTCCACCAACCGATGCGACTTCTTTGGCAACTTCGCCGAGAACTGAAACGCCGTAAAAATAAAACTTTTGTGACAGAAAATAAATAAATTACAGCAGTAGTAAGCCAGATGAATTATTCCGCAGACGATTCTTCGACACCTGCTGTGGGTTTCCTCGGGGGGCGGGGGCGGGGGGTGTTTGCGTCTGGTTGTATTTGTTGTAGTCTAGTGGGCGTTTCCGATGCACATAACACAGGGGAGTGTCCTCGCTCGGGACTGACCGTAATGGACAAAACTGTCCTTAACTATTCCCAAATGAAGTAAACTCTAATTTCAACAAACATATGAGCTCTTTGTATACAAATAGTGAATTTAAGAGTTAAACATTGCCGATGTCCCCGGGCTGCGGCAATTCCTCAATGAGATGATAGCCCGACCTCGCTAAGAAATAAAAAAATGTGAGCCGTCACGGGACGCCTGGCAGATGTGAAACATCGACATTATTTTGCATAAGTAATATTATGCAGAAAAGAACAGATTGTGATAGGAACTAAACATGTCATAATGATAAAATAAAATATTACGAAAAAATAATTTGTTTTCGAGTAAAACACAGGTTATGTGTACTGTAGTAAACAACACTGCATACACTACGGAGTATACACTATAGGTATCCGAGCTCAGTGTAGCGAGAGAGATGGCTTAACGCCGGATCGAGTGGGAGAGAATCGCACAGTCGATTGCGCATGGCGACGCGTCACCATAGCATGCGTCGCCATGCCAGAAATCGGTTTTACGTGCGGCTATAGATGTTTCGCATCAACATTGTAAGATATATTTTCCGAGCTAGCAACACCAAGTTTTTTTATTTCAAGCAACATCGGTCATGGAGCAGCTTGTAGAGACCCCGCGTCGTACCGGTGCCCTGCAGCGCGCGGGAGATCCTCTCGTCCAGGCTGCTGAGGGGCGCGGGGGTGTCGGCCGGGGGGGCGGCGGGGGGGGCGGTGTCGGCGAAGCAGTCCCCGTACTGCAGCCGGTCGGACGCTCCGTACATGTCCTGGTAGGCCTCGTCGTAACTGAAAATTGTTTTTTTTTAATCAGCCAGTTCCAGTTCCTGGAAACGATTTTTCAACCAAAGAACAGAGGTCCCTGCAACACGTACCCAATCGAACAGGAGTCGCTAGTTCTCTTTGCGAGACTCTGTATCCTGTAGACAGGCTGAGGCTGAACTTGAGGTTGCGGCTGAGGCTCGGTGCTGCCCCCAGTCAACACTATGTTCACGTCGCCTGGCTTCAAACCTGTAACAATGTGTTTGTAGGAATTAATACAGAAATTAAAAAACATGGTGTTATTTGGGTCTGTGCGAGAGGTCCGGGTGGCCCGCGCGCTCAGTGAGCTGGTCGCGGCGCCAGTCACACTTGATCTCCCCCCGCCTCCCCCTCCCCTGTCTCTACTAGTGCACTGTACTGTACTCACCCCACCTGGAGGGTCTGTGCGAGAGCTCCGGGTGGCCCGCGCGCTCAGTGAGCTGGTCGCGGCGCCAGTCACACTTGATCTCCCCCCGCCTCCCGCCCACCACCGTCTCTATCCGCTGCGACAGCCCCGCACTTTCCTGACAACATACAAACAAATTCTTGATTGCAATAAATATATATCCTGCAAGTTTGCCCCGCCGCGCTGATGAGACACAGCTCTTACTATTCGCGGAGAGCAAAAACTGCAGCTGACCTTGGACACATCGCTCTGGTACGCCATTGCCATTTGCTCCAACATTTCGTAATTCCCTTCGTCGTAGCCAGCGAACTTATCGTCGGGCAGCCGCTCCCCGCGGACGTCATAGTTAGCGAATCTATCAGCGGTGTTGTCCGTGGACAACGATTGATGAACTTTAATTTTTTCGCCCAGATTAGAAGGTATCTTTGCCGTTGGCTGTTTCGAGTTGGCGAGTCGCGGGTCGCGGGGCGGCGAGGGGTGGTGCGGTGGATCGATCTTCATTTCCTGTAAACGGAATATTCATGTATATTCTTGCCTTAGACCAGTGTTTCCCAACTTTTTTTGTGCCATGCCCCACTGTAACGGTTCTAGATTTTTTATACCCCCGATACACAATTTAAGAAACATAAATGATAGATTTTATGAAGAAATCACTATGAAATTGTTATCAATTTTAAAACATATAATAAAAAATTTGAAATTCAAATTCAAATAATTTTAATACATATTTTCTATATTAATTTACTGCGATTACCCCCCTTAATTATCAAATTGTCCCCTTGTGGGGCGTGGGCCCCACATTGGGAAACACCGCATTAGACAGAGCAGAGTGGGGGGGGCTCCCCGCTACTACTACTCGGGAAAGTCCCTATCGTCTGCTCACGTTATACTTTAAGATCTGTAGAACAACATATGATTCTAATGTTACCTCCGCCTTCTCTTCAATTTTCTCTTCAGAACAAATTTCGATTTCCTTCACGGGTTCCACTTCCATCTTTTCCACTTTCTCTTTTTCTATCTTTTCAACAACCTCTTCAATCTTTTCCACTATCTCCTCCTCTAAATTTTCTTTTTGATCTTCTACTTTCTCGAGAACCTCTTCGTGCGGGCTTTCTTTTTCTGCTACAACATCTGTATTGTTTTCTAATTCTTCCTGTCCTGAAGCCTGAAGCCCTGCCGCCTTATCCTCGGCGCTGTGAGGTGCGGGGAGGGGGGGCGGCGGGAGTTCCAGCTCTCTCTTGATGTGCAAGTTGTTTCCCACGAAGTCGCTCTGCAGCTCCTTGACGTTGATGATCTCCCGCGGTTTCTTGCGCGGCGAGAAGGTCTCGTCATCCGTCATCCTCTCAGTCTTGATGTTGTTGAGAATGTTGACGTCGAAGAGCTCGTCGCTGCGCGCGGAGGAGCTGGACTGCTTCCGTTTCTTCTTCCCTTGGGACTTCTTTTTCTTTTTCCTGGCGTCGGAGTCCGAGTCGGAGTCGCTGGAGGAGTCGGAGCTGGAGGAGGAGCTGCTGCTGGACGACGCCGCCTTGGAGCGTTTCTTCTTGCGGTGCTTGCGTTTCTTTTGGAGCTTTTTCTTTTTACGTTTCTTATCTTTCTTCTTTTTCTCTGCGAAAGGGAATTCAAATTAGTAACTCTTGAATTACTACAATAAGCAAACGTGACGTGGCATACCTCTCTCATTTTCCTCGTCCTCTTCAGATTCATCACTGATCTTCGCTTTCTTCCTTTTCTTCTGTTTTTCTTTTAACTTCTTCAAATATTTCTTTCCTAATTTCTTCCGTTTCAATAGTTTCAATTTTTCTTTCTTATTCTCCTGCGAACAAAGCAGAAGAGATTATAAAATTGGCCGTTTAAGCCCGATCTATGAGCACCTTCTGATTATATTGGTTTTCTGGATTCCCTATTTAAGTTCCCTACTTCTCCCCCTACCTTCTTCTTGAGAGACTTCTTCCGCCTGGCGGCCTGGTCGTCGCTGTCGGTGACGGAGGTCGTCGAGTGCTTCCTTTTACGCGTCTTCACCTTTTCTTTGTCGAATTTAATTTTTTTGCTGAAACCAAGCAATGATGTTGTAGACCCTTACTTCTTCTTTACTTCCCAAGGGTCCATAGGGGACTCTATGGGGGTCTACGTTGGCTTGGCAAAAAAAAGGGTTCACAATTCGTAAGCGGTGTCCACGAATTTGTTTTTGCTTTCGATAGTAAATTTAGCTGTCAATCCATCAAGTATATCTCTCCCATTCAAATTATAACTATTTTGTGATTGTCGTTGTAAAGTTACGTTATTAATGTTTGATTTTAATTATATTATTACGGCTGTCATTACATTACAAACGAGATAAGTTTTATTATCTTTACTAGGAGCTCACAGCTCACCTGAAGTTAAGTGGTTACTGGAGCCCATAGACATCTACAATGCGCCAACCACCTTGAGATATAAGTTCTAAGGTCTCAAGTACAACGGCTGCCCCACCCTTCAAATCGAAACGCGTTACTGCTTCACGGCAGAAATAGGCGGGGCGGTGGTACATACCCGCGCGGACTCACAAGAGATCCTACCACCAGTAATTACTGTAATCACGTATATAGAGAGTGAATTTAGATATATGAGTAACCTTTTCGGCGGCTGGTCGTCTACGTCAGACTCCTGGCTCCAGCCCTCGCTGTTGAGGCGCGGCTTCTTCTTCTTGTCATCGGCGGCGACGGGCGTGGTGCTGCGGGGCGCGTCCGCTTTCTGCTCAGACACGTCCGACAGCACCGCTTGCATGAACCTGATCAAATAATTACAAACATTAACTGGAAGATAACCATCATCATCAGCCTGCGGCAGTCCACTGCTGGACCTATGGCCTATGCCTAAAGCTCGCCACTGAACCTGATCTTCGGTTCTACGCATCCAGTCACTTTTTTTTTCTACCTAAGCCGACGGTCTAGAGCAGTCTTTCCCAAAGTGGGCGATAACGCCCCCTTGTGGGTACTGCAGGCCTAAAAGGGGGCGGTAAGAGACCCGGAAAAAATGGGGACGTTGTGTAGAGGCTTGGGAGGCGATTTGTAATTTCATCTAGGAGGACCCTTAGACACCGACTGAGCTCTCGCTATAGTGGTTTTTTAGTAGGTGAAAAAATGGGGACGCTAAAAAATAATTTATTCTCAAAGTGGGCAGTAGACAAAATAAGTTTGGGAGCCCCTGGTCTAGAGAGACCATATCAGCGTAACGTTAACTAGTAGGTGAGCTCACGGGGCTCAAACCTGACGACGTTGCCAACAAGAGCCGTGCTTCGCAGAATCTACCGCCGGATTCGAAACGCGACTCACTGAGAAGATCTGGCAAGGAACTCAGTAGGCTGTGTCTGTGGGCTAATTTACTCGCCGAGCACTTCGTCGCGAGCGACGGGTTTGACGAGAGCGATGACCGGTGCTCGAGGTACCTAAAAGCACCGTTAGTGGATCGGGAGGATCCGAAATGACGTGACCAGTGACTGCCTTGTGCAGGTGGTCGCTCTATCTATCAGGAGGCCGTCCTGCACTACGTGTGCCGGTTCGCGGTCTCCACTCCAGAACACGTTACCCCAACGGTTATCGGTTCTGCAACATAACTATACTTGAGACGTTAGAACTTATATCTCAAGATGGGTGGCGCATTTACGTTGTAGATGTCTATGGGTTCCAGTAACCACTTAACATCAGGTGGGTTGTGAGCTCGTCCACCCATCAAAGCAATAAAAATAAAAAAAGTGACCAGCCCACTGCCACTTCAGCTTACTGACTCTGCATGCTATATCAATCACCTTGGTTTTTGCATATAATAATAAACTAATTGAAATGTATGTTTCCTAATGAAGTCGGTTTTTAGAATAATAGAAAGGGTCGGTAGAATCGCTCGATCATTCGTATCATCCGACGAAACCTCGAATCCCCAGTTCTTGGTAAATGTAACATCCGTGCATTTCTCCCTGCACATTCATGATTTTGCAACCACAAAACAAAGTTGTACAAAAAGAAATGGTTGAAAAACCAAAATGTTATTTATATATATAAATAATATATTATTCAAGTATATTATTCACTATAGTTATTTTTAATAATAATAATCATCATCGCTTTTTAAGATGATGACATCATCAGTAGCATAATGAAAATGGAGCCTTTGCCTCCAGACAGACTTAACCTGTGACATAACTCCTTTCATCCTTCTTGTCACACGGTCTTTTAATTAATCATGCCTATTTTTTCTACGAACTAAATACAATTAATACCTCTGACGTGTTTAGATTTTTAAACTGATTAATAAATCTTAAAATTGTTCGGATTGTTCAATTTGTTTTTAAGGGATTTTATGACTTGGTTAAGACCTTGAGGTTAAGTCTTATTTTAATTTTAATTTTAAAAAATTATATGAATACTGATATTATGAAATGGAATGAAGTTAATTAATATGAAACATTGCATGAAATGAAATGATATGAAAACGAAATGAAATGAGATGAAATGATATGGGATGAAATATAATCTCAGTAAAATGGTGGTTATTTACTGAAACTTTTTCACTGGTCTTTTTGGAGGATCCCGAGAAGTTACGTTCAGCGGCTTTGTTTGTTTTTCCCACATTTGTGCACTTTCACAGATACTAAACAGTTAATAAACCACCTTTATTACGTATTTAAACTTGAAGAAACACGAAATAGACAAAATAAAACAGATCACACAACTTCACTTCTCGCGTTCCCGCTAAAATGTCCAATAACAAAATTAATTTTTTTAAGGGATTTTATGACCTGGTAACTGAGACCTTTAAGTGATATCTTATTTTAATTTATATTCATATTTTTATGAAAAATGATATTATGGAGTGAAATGAAATAAAAATGATTAATTTGAGACATTAATCAGCTGGGATGAAATTAAATGAAATGATATGGGATGAAATATAATCTCAGTAAAACGGTGGTCATTTACTAAGATTTTTTCAGTGGACTTTTTGGAGGATCCCGAGAAGTTACGTCAAGCGGCTTTGTTTCATTTTCCCACATTTGGGCACTTTCACAGATATTAAACAGTTAATAAACCACCATTATTACACATTTAAACCCGAAGAAACACTAAATAGACAAAATAAAACAAATCACACAACTTCACTCCTCGCGTTCCCGCCAAAAAGTCCTAACAAATTGACCTTTGAGTGGTACACAGAGTATATAAAAATACAGGCTTTAGTATCTATTTAAATAAAGCCAATCAATGATGCGGTCATTTGAGAACCACGGTCAAATATATTTGATTAAAATATTGGTTATTAGAGATTAGAGATTAGATGTTTTTTTAAATTGATTTTTATAGTTAGCTAGCCTGGTTTTTCAATTAAGATATTCAACTAAACACTTTTTAACAATGTTTAATGTATGCTCCTTCTTTTATTTTGATCACAAATGACGTCATACGTGATAAATTTGCAGCTTGGCTGGATTCGATGGACGGTTTCAAGAATGGAAGACTAATTAAATTTAATGATTAAAATATTATGTGTTATATTAAGTCTGGCTATCCACAGCTGTCAGCAGCCGCGGTCCTCGCTGCGTACACTTGTCGTACTGGTCACCACTATCTCTAACTCAATTTTCCATCCAACCCAAATCATGTTGATCCATTCACAGAGCTCCGTTGAAATAACGAATTTGAAAACAGCATTAAAACTTTTTTTTTTATTGCTTAGATAGACGAACTCACAGCCCACCTGGTGTTAAGTGATTACTGGAGCCCATAGACATCTACAACTTAAATGCGCCACACACCTTGAGACATAAGTTCTAAGGTTTCAAGTATAGTTACAACGGCTGCCCCGCCCTTCAAACCGAAACGCATTACTGCTTCACGGCAGAAACAGGTAGGGCGATGGTACCTACCCGCGCGGACTCACAAGAGGTCCTACCACCAGTAAAAACTGCAAATAGTTGTTTCTGAGACTCTCTGACCACCTCGAGGGATGCTCCCAGCACACAGGACTGCACAGAGGTCATACCTGAGACTTTATCTCCGGCCTAGTGTTGTATGTAACATAAAGTACAAGTTACCTCTGATACTCCCGGTCGAGGTACACGGTCTCGGTGCGCTGCGGGGTGTGGGGGGCCGGCTGCTCCTCCGACTCCCAGTCGTCGCAGGGGGCGCGGGGGGCGCGCGGCACGGGGGGCGGGGGGGAGGCCGCGGGGGGACGCAGGGGAGGGTACCACTCGCGCGACGAGNCGAGGGATGCTCCCGGCACACAGGGCTGCGCAGAGGTCATACCTGAGACTCTACCTCCGGCCCAGTGTTGTATGTAACATAAAGTACAAGTTACCTCTGATACTCCCGGTCGAGGTACACGGTCTCGGTGCGCTGCGGGGTGTGGGGGGCCGGCTGCTCCTCCGACTCCCAGTCGTCGCAGGGGGCGCGGGGGGCGCGCGGCACGGGGGCCGGGGGGGAGGCCGCGGGGGGACGCAGGGGAGGGTACCACTCGCGCGACGAGGGACACGGGAAATCAGATATTCTGGAAATTGTAATAAAGAGCTTTAGTTCATATCTTTAAATTAAATTTCCTTTATAGCTAAAGTAAAATTATTTTGTCCGCGCAGTTTGGGTCATAAATAATCGGAGTGGTGAAGCGAGTATTTCGCTCTCTCTTCCACTCACGAGCCTTATGGACGAGCATAGTGATGCGCATTATTGTTGTCGATAAGCGTTATCGATAGTGTATTTAGTTTTGTCATTTGTTAGTGAGTTTGGTTATTAAATGAAAGAAAAAATCACTAATCGAACACTTACACCACATATCGCCGCAGCAAGTTAACGAGAACTTTTTGTAACTTTTCGGGATCTATTTTCATTTCAGTGAAAATTTTGAACACATTACTGATAACAACACGTGCTTGTGCTGGTATATTTTTGCCAACAGGCAAAGTATTATTTTGAATTAATTCTGCCGTTTTGGTACAAAACAAAGGAGTAGCTATTGTGTCACTAAAGAATTTCAGAGAGCGAATGCACAAAAACACATTTCTCTTCGATATATGTACTACAATTTGCGGGTAGGTACAAAAAATGACTCATAACATAACAATGTCTCACCACCCTTCGTATACCGCCCCGCCGCCGTGTACCTGCCTTCGATGACTCATTTGTTTTTATCGATAATGGCGTTGCGCCCGCGCAACATGTTCACCGCCCTAGCCGGGCTGTGTTTTATGACCCAAATTGCACGGACAAAATAATTCTACTATAGCTAGTAAAAGGAGGGCATTGTGAGTCCGCACGAGTGCGACGAAGCAGTCATACTAAGAAACATAGAAGCGTACTTTTGAACTTCACTCCCCGTATTTTCAAGTGTCTTATAAAATACTATTGAAATACTTCAAGCAGGCCAGCTGTAAGGATGCTGTAACCCAGAAAGTTCAGCCATACAAACGTATCCTTTTTTTTAAAACGGTATCTTATTAACGGCTGCTTTGCGGACTGGTGTATATAGTGATGAGTAAGTTCAGTAGATATGAAGCATGACGCTCACTGGTCGCAGCCGTACACGCGGTCCACCAGCGACATCTTGCACGTCTCCAGCTCCTCGTACACCACGGCGCGGTCCTTCACGCAGCGACACGTCTTCGGGTTCTCAGCGAACCACACTTTAGGCACGGCATGGGTTTCTCTGTAATCATATATTGAAGCAATATTTTTTAAGCACAATGTAAACATATTTTATTAAATTCCTAGTCGCTGGTTAAAATGGTATTTTTTATTGCTTAGATGTGTGAATGAGCTCACAGCCCACATGGTGTTAAGTGGTTACTGGAGCCCATAGACATCTATAACGTAAATGCCCCACCCACTTTAAGATGTAAGTTCTAAGGTCTCAAACATAGTTACAACGGCTGCCCCACCACTTCAAACCGAAACGCATTACTGCTTCACGGCAGAAATAGGCAGGGCGGTGGTACCTACCCGCGCTGACTCTCAAGAGGTCCTACCACCAGTGAAATATATAGTGAGTACATATATCAACACGAGCACCACGTCCTCGGAGACCACAAACATGTCCATGTCGTAATTACTAATTAAAAGTTGGATATAAATCTCACTTGTAACATTTATCCTTGTCGTGTCGGAACAACAGCGGCTGACAGATCTTCAGCACGAAGCTCCAGACCTCGAGGGAGTCGACTGTCGATTTGGACATGTTGTTTTCAGCTTCTTCGAAGTCCTTGTCCAGGGACATGCGGTAGGACCTGGAGCTCTCCGTGGACCGGTAGCCAGACTCCGTGGACCTATAGCCGGACTCCATCGACTTGAAGCTGTCGGAGAAGTCGCTCCGTTGGCTGGCGCTGGAGTCCTTGACCTCGGGAGTCACGGACCGGTTGGCCCTCGGGCTCTCGTCGTCTTTGGGCGATATTTCGTACTCGACCAGCCCTTTGTCCTGGATGGAGTCTTCGTTGATCTCCTCGTCCTGTATCTCGTTGATGACCGACTGCAGGAAGGACTCGTCGTTCGCCCCGTCCTTAGTGACTTCGTCGTCGTATAAGTTAAGTCTGATCGGACTTTTGTCTGTCCTGGTCGCGGTCGGCTTGGAAAACTTTTCCAATTCGATTTGTTCGTCGAATATATCGAGCGCCTCCTCGTTGGGATCGATTTCGTATTCGAAAGAATCGATAACTGGTTTTAGCTTCCCTATTTTCTTAGTACCGGTCTTGGGGGTTTCTTGTTGTGAAGTCTTTTGGATGCTCTCCTTTAATTGTTCCACTGGATCCTCGGGTTTCGGAGTAGAATCACTGGATTTAGGTTTCGGCTTCTCGTCTACTTTAGGACTTACAATCTTATCTTCGTTGTCCAGGGACCAGCTATCGCACACGAGATAATCGTTGAGATTAACATCAGTCTCCTTCTGACCTTTCTCTTTCTTCACGATTTCTTTTTTATCTCCACTTTTAGGTCTCTCCTCCCTGTATTTGTCATGTTTCTTGCTGGATCTCTTATCGAACTTGTCACTTCTTCTGTCTTTAGTCTTGCTGCGATCGTCTGGTCTTTTTTCTTTTTCACGAGGATCATCCTTCTTCCTTTGGAACGGGTTGTCGTAGCCAGGTAACAATTTCTGATAGTCAAACTTGAATGGTTTACCTTCGGCTTTAGCCTTCTTCGCTTCTTGAATTATTTCATCCACTTTTGCTGGATCTGTAAGATTTACATAAGTTACCTTAACATTGATACATTCTTGGTATATTCTAAGGAAGTCTCCCTTCTAAAATTCTTTTTGATGTAAAACTTCACTCAACTGCTATCTACGATCAATCTAAATTAATAAATTATAAAGCTAAAATAAAAATTACAAACAGTGAATTTATGCTCTACTATTGCGTATTATTTTCATCTATCTACCTTACCTGACTCGCTGACAAATAAAAGTGTAACAGCATTAATAAAGAAATGTTTATTTAATAAACAACAAAGCAAAAGAAAACATTTTCGCTCTATCTACCTGCTATTCTATATCTAACTATATTCTACTCCAAAAACTACAATTACTATTGAATCACTACGAAGACTCACTGAAGTGTGCGATGCACGTGCATATTCCTTGACGCGACACGTGCCGCCATCGAGAGCGTACCGGAGACGTGCATTTAGTGCGAGCTACACACATAACACGTGCAAGCGGGAAACAAGCATTAAGCAAGGAAAAATGGGGAATTGTGAAAAATAACATATATAAAAAAAGCCCTTTTCTGAATTTAAGTTTCTGAACTGTTTGTCTTTGTATTGTGTACAAAACACTTCTTTTGTTAAATGTAGATCAAACTACATATCATTCTTCATTATTTTTATCAGTCATTGATTTATGGATTAAGGGCATTTATACTGATATTACCTAATATATTATTTTTTAAACCCTTTACTAAACATAAATCATTGCTACATGGTCCATGTATTGATAATACTGACACAGTGTTGTGCTAATAATGATCTTTTTCTATGGGTAGTATGTCATAGCATACTGAGACAACTGCTGGGTTGGTAATATATTTAGGTCACGCCTTCTTCTGCAGGGGAGCAACTATGCTTTCGGATTGGAAATAATAGTCAACTGGGATGCAATTGGGATTCAATGCAATTGGGATTTCAAATTTATGTGTCAAAGTGGGTATCATTGACATGCATCTTTGGCTCTGTTGGGTATCATTGACATGCATCTTTGGCTCTGTAACAATCAACATCAAGAAGTGGCCCGTGAGCTCTTCTAAGCACTTATTTTTATTTCAGAGAAACCAGACGATGAACTTGGTTGACATTTGAACAAATACATATTATATGTAGTAAATAAATTATTATTTTTAATGCTTAGATGGGTAGACGAGCTCACAGCCCACTTGATGTTAAGTGGTTAATGGAGCCCATAGACATCTACAACGTAAATGCGCCACCCACCTCGAGATATAAGTTCTAAGGTCTCAGTATAGTTACAACGGCTGCCCCACCCTTTAAACCGAAACGCATGCTTCACGGCAGAAATAGGCAGGGTAGTGGTACCTACCCGTGCGGACTCACAAGAGGTACTACCACCAGTAAAAATACAAGCAAAATGCCAACAAAAAATATTTGTAAGTTTGTTTTAATGTTTGTTACAAAAAAGCGCATGAATGAATGAACAATATGCATTCGCAAAACTAGACAAGCATTATTGATATTATAAGACATAATTAAATGCAAGCGACAACTTTGATGATAAAAATTGTGTTTCATTAAGCGTTCAGTTTTTTGTAAAAAAACTCATAACTATAAAATATCGTCATTGTCAATCCAAAATCTGCTAGGTGCACTTTTTGAGATTTTTACTTTTTGACCTTTTCGTATAGTTCACAACCCTATCTCATCATCATCATCATCATCATCATCATTCTTTCCTATTACCCTCTACTGGGGTGTAGGGCTCGAATCAAATTTTCCATTTATATCGGTCTTGGGCAACACACAAACACAACCCTATCTACCGTATAAAAAAAAACCGTTATGTGTCTATAGCTTTAATATTTTTCTATAGCTTTCACTTGATATAGTTCTTAAAAATTAACCTTCATATAAAATTTTACATGAAAATGTTTTTACCCGTTAATTCAAACTAGAATTTTTGCATTTAACAGATTTTGGTTTGACAGCGACGATGATATACCGATTTTCATAAAGACAAGATATGACATGACAAAGTTACATTAACCTATAGCTGGATGCGAGCCAACAATACGTAAATTCCGCCGCCTGAAGCTATGATGAGGGTCGGAGTCTTGTGTATCCGCTGCCTCAACCATAAGTTCACAAGTGTGTGGGTTAAAACAGTACTAGGCAGGGTGGTGGAATCTAAACCTTTGGGCTTACAATACCTTACCACCCGCACATACATTTACGTACTAGTTGGAATCGTGAGAGGGGGAGTGGGGGGGGGGTCTTGCTTTTCTCACAGCCCACTTGGTGTTAAGTGATTACTGGAGCCCATAGACATCTACGACGTAAATGCGCCACCCAGGTTGAGATATAAGTTCTAAGGTCTCAAATATAGTTACAGCGGCTGCCCCGCCCTTCAAACTGAAACGCATTATTGCTCACGGCAAAAATAGGCAGTGGTGGTACCTACCCGCGCGGACTCACAAGAGGTCCTACCACCAGTAATTACGTGTATGTTGTAAGTCAAGCAAAACCATAAAAAGAATACCATGGATTCGTAAAGAAATCAGATAACTTACCTATAAATGATTTGATTGGGGGCATAGCTTTAGTCGGCATGGCCTTGTCGTTGTTAGAGCTGGGACAGATGAGGCCGAGGGGAATACCGAGCTCCACTAATTCCATTTTCCTCTTCATGTCTTCGATCTCTGACAATGTCTTCTTCTGTTGGTCCATATGCTCCGCTGAGGAAAAAATATAAATTTACTAGCTGACCCGGCAGGCTTCGTACTGCCTCAATCAATAAATAAAAGAAAGATTTTCAAATTTGTCTACCTTTTAAACCATCTCTGGACTTCCACAAATAATTCAAGGCCAAAATTGACCAAATCGGTCCAGCCCTTCTCGAGTTTTAGCGAGACTAACGAACAGCAATTCTTTTTATGTATATAGATTGATGGTGGCTAAATAAAATAGTTGAGATACCCATTACCGTATCATCTTGACATGATCAAGATGAAGCGCTTGAAACAGTCCTTTTCAGGTCCAGATATTATTTGTACATGCCAATTTAAAGTTTTGTACTCAAGAAAACAGGTTTCAATATTGCATTCTACACTACATTTTTTTTTGTTTATGCATCTATACGTAAAGTTTCGAAACCTCGATTTGTCAATAACTCAATAGACTCAACTAAATATAGTTGAACCAGAAACATTTTATGTATCTACATATTACAAAATCTTTTTTTCCTACCTAAGCTGGGAACCTTGGAGGGTTATGTAGGCGTTACCGAGCGAGGCGTTACTAACATTAGCCTTAGCAAGAGCAGTGCTTCGCAGAATTTACCATCGGATCGGAAACGCGACCCACTGAGAAGATCCGGCGAGAAACTCAGTGGGCTGTGTCTGTGGGTTAATTTATTCGCCGAACCCTTGGTCGCAAGCGACGAGAACAGGTTCCAGAGTTTTGGTCTCAAGGACCAGGATTGTTACGTAATATAGAATTAAATGTCAGCCTAATATAAATATTATTTCTGTGGTTTTTGCACAGATATATTGAATTTTGGCTACAGGGGTTACAGGGTGGAACAGGAAATTAAAAAAGTTTGTATTATTGTGAGATACTGTGATGTGTACTTGCAACTTCTTCATCAAGAAGCACTATACTATAGCATATCTGGAACTATTGTAACACACCCTGTATAAGTTTTCTGATGTATCCAGGTTTAGGGGGTTTTGGAGGTTTTTTCTGTTCTGCTGCAGGATCTTCAGGTTTTGCTGTTACTTTCACACTACTTAACTTCCCGATGTACACTGTAGGACCTGAAATAATTTATTTTTTTCAGATTATCTTTGTATTTATTAGCGAATGAGATCCCAAACGGGTAGTTTCGCCCCCTGTTCATTGAATCATTAAACTTTCAAGAGGCGTCAGTGGTTAAAAATATATTATCTACCTATGGGCCAAATGAAAAAAGAAAGATTATTTGAATAGATCTTCAGGCAGGCTATACTAAATCAGGTTGACTATGATAAATAACACATAATAATTTGTAGTATACAATAAGGCCGAGAACACTAATTTAGAACAAGAATGCAAAAGTTATTGTAAAGAATATGACGTTTACAGAAATGGATCGTATAGTATTTGATTAAGCACACCTGGACTTTATATGGGAAATACTTCTTTTAAAATGTAGACTATAAAAAGTTGTAATGCACTATGACCCATTTCTAAAACAAAAATTCTCACACCGAAAATATGTATGCATATCTTCTGTACAACTTACCTCCAGCATTTACAGCTTTCGGCACTGGCATTGTCGAAAGAGGCGTCTTTTTTTGCATAATTGAGAATGCACGAAGTCGTTTCTTGGCATTCTCAACGCCTTTCGGCGTCGGAGCCGGTAGTTTTGGAGATGGTAGAGGAGAGAATGCATTCTGTCAATAAACAATTACAATTAATCGTTTTATATGTTCTAAAACAGTTTGTTACATAAGCACCTATCTAGCAATATTTTTACATTTCAATATTGTCATAAAAAGCCGCTAAGAAGTCATAGTTACAGAAATAATATAAACAGAAAGATTTCATTGTTAATAGTGTCTATGACTCACGAAACAGACTAACCCGGCCCCAAATTCGGATTCCCTGTGTTATAGGTACCAGAAACCGATATAGATACATAAATATGTTTAAATATATACATATGTAGATAATAACCAGACAAAGAAAAATCCAATCAAGGTTAAATGAATTTTCATATATTCTATACTAAACATGTTGAACGCCACACGAAAAATTGAGCATTTTCATTAAGGCCAAAGTGCTCACCGGTGAGCCTTATCTTATTGAACCGTTAGGGCCATGAGGGTCATCCGTGAGCTGCATAAGGCTTCCAACATAAACGCTTCCTACAAGCCACAGATTGCAGCTATCAAACAAATGCATATAGAAGTTGTTTGGCCCTTTAGTCGAAACAAATGCCTTAGTTTTCAAATCCAATAGAAAGTTGTAGTTTTTATCAAGATTATAGCCTTTTAAAATATCTTAAAAACTAAACGATAAAAGTCGCTAATTTTTATCTTCACTGCAAATTATCGCATTTTATAAATTTTTCAATAAAAATCTCAAGTTGATAAAATTATTGATTTTGGCTCGGCCTGAATGGTATAGTACACTAAGCCCACTGGTGGGCCACATGACATTCAACATGTTAATCATTGCAATCTCCAAATGCTAAAAACAAAAACTCAGATTGCTCAACCAGGAAATCAACTATAGGCCCAATGGTATATTGTTTGTTAGTAATGACTTGAACAATAAGACAATATGATTAATTAAATCGAGAAGTTTATATCAATATTTCTGCAACTTTGCAGGAGATCCATTTACAGTTTAGAATTTGAAAAATATATATAACAAAATCTTATTCAGCTATTTGAATAGGTTAAGCTTAATTGAAGTTCAATTAAAAACATTCAATTGTTGATGCTAATACGAAATAAAATGGACCTTTAATTAAAAATATAAATGTAGCATAGTAAGCAAAATGTCCCTTAAACCAAATAGCCTTTCTTTCACCCCTCGAAGTGTTTTCAGAAACACCTCATTTTTTGTCTTTAGTTAAACAGAATAAAAAACTCAATAATAGTTACTATAATTTAAACCCATACTCGAATTGAAAAGAAAATTTTTAATGCTGTTAATGATGAGAAAAGTTTGTCATCAATTTAACTGAGGACTTTCAGGTTATAACAAAAAGAATACTGTATCGCGCGAAAATAAAAAATAAAAAATTAATCTTTAGGAAACTTCTTATTAAAATTTTATATTAGGGGGCCTTTTTTGACGATAGGAAGAGGTTGCATCCGTAATTTTTATTTTGAAATATCATATTTGTAATGGTTAAATTACCTTTTCAAAGCCAGAAGTAGATCCGCTGCCAACAGAGGCCGGGCTATCGGAGCTCTGGGACCCCGTCCCGGTCTTGTAACCACTTAAATCCATCTATAATGTTTGTCCTAACAAAAAGTTAAATAACATGTTTTCAGTGATTGTATATCGCTTAAAGACACAGTATACAAAACTTTGTGTATTACACGGATGAAGCTTATTAAATATACAATTTATCTTCATTGAATAATAAAAATACATGCACTGTAAGTGTTTACTATGTAATATTTCAATTAAATTTAGATGTTATGTATTTGCAATATTTGCATTGTTAAAGAATACAATTACAATTTTTCTTCTGAAATGTCAAGTTGGACTGGCAAAGGCAAACTAGCCTGTACGTCATAATTATCTGCAGTGAAGAATCGAAACGATATCTTTTAGGCCTTTTAGGGGAAGAGGAAAAAAATGTTATGCTGTGTTAATATGTGTATATATCTATGACTACTTTACCATTTAAAGATCCATTCAACGAGGACGGTGACTGGTGCTTGAAAAGCGTAAAAGCTACGAGAGTGGATCCAGGGGATCAGATAAGAGATGTTTCGGGCGGCGTCATTTTTGTGTTGCTCCATCGCCTCGGTCGGATATGTAATTAGCGGAGGCCACGATAAGAGGGCTATCGTGTCGCGCCGATTTCAAAGTAGCGTTCTGACCCTTCATTTAGACACTTACGCATCGCTTCTATGTTTAGGTCTTCGTGGCCTAACGGATAAGACGTCCGGTGCATTCGTGTTGAAGCGATGCACCGGTGTTCGAATCCCGCAGGCGGGTACCAATTTTTCTGATGAAATACGTACTCAACAAATGTTCACGATTGACTTCCACGGTGAAGGAATAACATCGTGTAATAAAAATGAAACCCGCAAAATTATAATTTTTAGTATTTTTTTTTAATTTAGTTTAATTAGTAATTACGACATGGACATGTTTGTGGTCTCCGAGGACGTGGTGCTCGTGTTGATATATGTACTGAACTGTACACTGTATGTATTTCACTGGTGGTACGACCTCTTGAGAGTCCACGCGGGTAGGTACCACCGCCCCTGCCTATTTCTGCCGTGAAGCAGTAATGAGTTTCGGTTTGAAGGGTGGGGCAGCCGTTGTAACTATACTTGAGACCTTAGAACTTGTATCTCAAGGTGGGTGGCGCATTTACGTTGTGGATGTCTATGGGCTCCAGTAACCACTTAACACCAGGTGGGAGGGAACTCGTCCACCCATCTAAGCAATAAAAAAAAAAAAGGTCGTCGTGAAGATCGACATTCCTCATGAACCACGGTGCTCCGACGGCTATCTCACAGAAACAGGATTGGATGCCCAAGAGAGTTCAGATGCATGCGGGCCGCGTGAGCGAACACTACACTTGCATAGTTAATGACGGGACGTATGCTAGTTTTGTATTTTTTTTTTCAATTTGTACGCTTTAGCCTCGATCATTATAACTTAGATCACATTAAATAAATAAACAGTACAGACCATAGATAATATTAATATTTTACATTTAACTTGTGGCGGGCTTCTTTCCGCTTCGAATCTACATCGGATTAAAACACAGAAATAGTTAAATCTATTTATATCTATAAACTGTACAAAGTTTTCTGATTATTCATATCTATCACGAGCATGGAGAGGTCGTCACTCAATTTCATTTGTATTGTGGGTTGTGCTGTATCTGTAAACACAAATATATTTATTTAATAAGCATTTAAATCTAAATTTAAATGATAAAAACGATTTTGTTTATCGATCATTTCTAGATGCATTACTTTCTAAATATTTTATTTTACTTTTACTTCTTAGACAGGAGTGTGTAAGAGTAATAGGTAATATATTATTATGACAATAATAATCACCAAGCTCCTCATATAACAAAAAAACATAAACTCTTCATTTCATAAAGTTTTTAGAGTAGGTAGTACAGGAATCACACAAAAACCATAAAATCACTATGGAGTTACAACATATCTACTTTTCAAACATACCTTCAGCGTTAGGAACATAAAAAACTGGAACTTCATGTTTAATTTCCATAGCACTGTTATTAGCTTCATTGACGTCCGCAAACACTACCTCTGGTATTTCATCTGTCAGACACAATAACGATTTAGCATAGGGTTCCTTAAATTGGAATAAATAGAATGTTAAAAAGTGTACAATAGGTCCCGACAGGCTGTGGATAACATGTTGATGTTACTTCAAAGAACAGGATGATATGTGTTTTTAGACAATATTTTATCAATTAGATCTTTCCCAAACATTTCTATTAAATATTTGAAAGTGATAAACCTCTAACGATATTACCATTTGTAGAGATTGTTATCAATTTCTTCTCTGACATTCACTGCTAGTCATAGTTCTCCTCCAAGGCACAACAACAATAGAATATGATAATAATATATTCATTGATACACTGTCTATTGACAGTTAAATTGATTATGAGTAGATTCAACTAAAAAAGAATTATAATACCTATTTTTGTGAATTTTTTATTTATAATTTATTTGTCTTAGACATTTTTTATATTTTTATAATTTTTATCTTTGACAAAAGGCAGATCCTTTATTAAATATCAAGAATTAATTTGTAAAAATATAATTTTTATTAATGCCAAAGTAGCCATTAATTTTGTTGGTAGTGATAATTTTTATTTTTATAAGTTCAGAAGGAGCCAAGATATAAAGGAATGTTTTTAAAAAAACAATTCAACAATTTATAATTAATTATTCCCTTACCTCTAATACCAGATGCTGCAACTTCTACCTTCTGCTTTTTCATAGGCCTCTCAGCTTCACTCCCTCGCTTTTTACCGATTCTGCTCTTTTTCACCTTCTTTTGCTCTTGCTGACGATTCAGCATCATTGACACTTCATTCCTTATATCATTCTTCACATCATCTGACAAGTCCACACCACTATCATATTTCTTGACATACTTGGTTATGGGCTCATCATCGCTGCTGTCAGGATCGTTCAGGGATTCTTGTCTGAATACATTCTGTAAGTTCTGTATTCTGTCTTGAATCGTTTTCTGCAGTTTTCAACAAATTTATTGATTACTTTTTTAAAATTTGTACTATACAATTATTTGTATACAGATAGCCTTCCTATAACACGGTAGATACGTTCTTATAAAGTCCTGTGTTGTGCAAAACCGTGTTAAATAAGACTAGAAGCCAGTACAAAAAGGAGAGTAATTATTCTGAATAAAACATCTCAATTATATATATTTTTAACTATTTATTATACTTAAAAAATAAGCAGCAAAATTTCAGTTATTTTCATATATTGCGTATTCATAATACTTAATATAATCTTCTAAATAATTTTAAACAAAAAAGTTCATTATCTGTTGTAGAAGTACCGTGATAAAAGAGGGCTTTGTGGATTTTTTCTTTTCGTATAAGAGTAGAGCAGTTTTGTAAAATACCATGTTATAGAAGCATTATTGCAAATAGTCACAAGAGAAATTGACACCAGAACTGCAGTATACTCAGCTATATTTTTTAATAATTAATTGAACAGAAACTTACAAATTTGAGAGGCTTTGGTATCCTGATCATATAATGATTGGGATGCTCCTCCAGGACCTCACAAGTGGAACATAAATCGTAATCGGGGCATGTGAGACACTTATAACGGAAACCATATACTGGTTTCTTACATCCATTGCATACTATGTTTTCATGGTGTAGCTCTTCTTCACTGCTTCCNTTTTAATAATTAATTGAACAGAAACTTACAAATTTGAGAGGCTTTGGTATCCTGATCATATAATGATTGGGATGCTCCTCCAGGACCTCACAAGTGGAACATAAATCGTAATCGGGGCATGTGAGACACTTATAACGGAAACCATATACTGGTTTCTTACATCCATTGCATACTATGTTTTCATGGTGTAGCTCTTCTTCACTGCTTCCAGTTTCTGTAAATATATTTTTTTATTGCTTAGGTGGGTGGACGAGCTCACAGCCCACCTGGTGTTAAGTGGTTACTGGAGCCCATAGACATCTACAACGTAAATGTGCCACCCACCTTGAGATATAAGTTGTAAGGTCTCAGTATAGTTACAACGGCTGCCCCACCCTTAAAACCGAAACGCATTACTGCTTCACAGCAGAAATAGGCAGGCTGGTGGAACGAGCCCGCACGGACTCACAAAAAAAATTGGTAATGAATGAATAAATAATAATCCAGCATGGAGCATCAAGGCTGGTGTTGATCTCAGTACTACTGATCAATGCCAATAAGTTTTAACGTTTGGAAAGTCCTACCTCCATCTTCCCCTGGTAAATGTAGACTTGGTACAGCATCAGCGTGCAAGTGTTTGTTCTTTATACTGGACTGAGCGAAATGTCTGGAACACACCCTATATCTCAGGCGGACATCGGGTTTCTTTTCCAGTAGATCTAGTCTATTTGCTAGTTTCAACCATTCCTTTTGTCTGGAACAAGTAAGAAATGTATATACTGTATATTTTTCATTTTCATTAAACACATACGTAAAAATATTATAGATTCGACAGTTTAGGAAAACAGAGTAAGCACGACTGTATTTGTATAGAAAAACTTGGTATGACTGTTTATTTAATTTTATGGGTCTTATTAGTTGATTAGGTATCTCGATTAGAAACAATGTATAAAAATAGAGAAAATTCACACCTCTCCTCTTCTTTTGGTAAACAATAATAATTTAAAAGTTTATAATTTCTACTGTTTCTTCCGCAACCCGATACACAGCAATAATTAACCATTATGTTTTATAGCAATTTACATCGTAAGTTGTGAAATAGTTTCCTCTTTGCTTCAATACTTAAATAAAACAAATATTTTTGTTGATATATCCTAATGAAGTTAAGATTTTTGACAACAAATTCAAAATAATTACATCATAGATAGTTAGTAGTTTTATTCTTTCAAGTGGAAAGGCAAAGATGTCATTCCATACATCTTAACCTTTTATATATATTTTTTATATGAAAAATGATATTATGAAATGAAATTAAATCATATGAAATGAGATGAGATGATATGGGATGAGATGAGATGATATGGGATGAAATATAATCTCAGTAATATGGTGGTCATTTACTGAGATTTTTTCAGTAAACTTTTTGGAGGATCCCTAGAAGTTACGTTCAGCAGCTTGTTTCATTTTCCCACATTTGTGCACTTTCACAGACACTAAACAGTTCATAAATCACCGTTATTTAATTAGTTTTGGTAATTTTGGTTCCCGGCTCGGTAATTTTGATGTAGCCGGTTACCTTCATGACATATGCACTGGGTCTGGACAAATCAATCGATCCCCAGTCGAGGATGGAAACTTGTCCAGCAAGGTATCCAAGGTCCCCGATGTACGTCTAAGATTAAGCAAACGAGTAATTGCACATACGCACCTGAGACTGTCACACGGAGTTCCTGGACGCGTCCACTGTTCTAGATCCACTAGGCCGCGAATTGTTTCGTTTTAGAACTTTCACCCGCAGTCGTCAAATTCGGTTGCGTTTGAATTTTAACACGGCGTGAATGAGGCAAGAAATTGTTACAACCGCTACGAGGTGGGTACGAGATACCCGAACCTTTACATCCAGCTACTGCAACGGCGGGACTCACATAGCAGCAATAACACTAAATAATTTGCGCTTAAATAATTTGCTTTTAAAACTTCGCGGGTATGACATACCCCATCTCACTCACGCCGGGTTAAGATTTGGTTGCGTATCTCTCCCGTTCTTAATCGATGCGTGTGTGCATACGATGTTGCTTCGGCCTTTCATTCTTATGTGGACACCGAATAGCGTAAAATGTCAGGTAGAAAATTTACCGCGAAGACGGTACGGGTGCTCATAGCCAAAAAGTCGCCCTGTCTAAAGATAAGACGCCCGGTGCATTCGTATCTGTGCGACTGTACCAGTGTGCCAATCATGCATGCATGTACCAATTATTTTGATGAAATAATTATGTTCTTAACAATTTATCCCTAATGACCTTCACGGTGAAGTGATAAGATCGTGTAATAAAAATCAAACGCGCAAAAAATATAATTTGCGTAATTACTGGTGGTAGGGAGTGTTGTACGTCTTCACAGTTCCACCATCATCCTATTTCTACTGTGAAGCAGTAATGCTTTTCGGCTTGAAGGGTGGTGCAGCCGATGTACGGATTCCCTTCTTCTCAGAATTACTACAGTATATTTACTAAGATTTCCGAGGACTTTTTTGAGGCTAGGATTTGTGGACAAGCTCACGGCTCACCTACTGTTAAGTGGTTACCGGAGCCAGGGTTTTTTATTTTTTATTGCTTAGAGTGTGACGAGCTCACAGCCCACCTGGTGTTAAATGGTTACTGGAGCCCATTGACATCTACAACGTAAACGCGCCACCCACCTTGAGATATAAGTTCTAAGGTCTCAGTATAGTTACAACGACTGCCCTACCATTCAAACCGAAACACATTACTGCTTCACGGCAGAAATAGGCGGGGTGGTGGTACCTACCCGCGCGGACACACAAGAGGTCCTACCACCAGGTAGACATCAAAAATGTAAATTCCGCTATCCACCTTGAAGCATGAAGTCTAAGGCCGTGGCAGGAAACAGCTTGGCTGTGCAGCTAGCGTTGCTGTCGTCCATGAGCGACGGTAGTCAATCATCATCACGGGGACATAGGCTCGTCTGGCTAAGGCAATAAAAAAACACTCAGTGGGTCGCGATTCCGATCCAGTGGTAGATTCAGCGAAGCACTGCTCTTGCTAGGGAAAATGGTAGCAAACTCTTTCAGGTTGAGCGCCGTGGTCACGCCCATCAGTCAGGGTGAAGCCAGTATAATCTTTCAAGGTTAATGACAGATATATAACCCAAAAAAAAAAGAAAGTCAATGGTCGGACGAGCTTATCGGGTTATTTGTGATAATTTGACCAAACCGTTGCTTTTAGCAAGAATAAAAATACATTCATAAAACTAATATGTAACGTAACGCTGGTGATATAAAATTACTTCTCTATTGTTTTAATTGCCATCAACTGAGTAGCTTGGTTGATGTATTTATTATATTTAACACTAATCATACCAACACTTACTGTCTGTTAAGTATTACTCAAAATAAACAAAAAAAAAAGTATATGTAATGAAAAAGTCATGAAGTCAAATGTGCGAAAGCAATAAGATAATACGTGCATTTTCAATGCAAAAGTTCAAAATGGGTCATTTGAAAATTTGAACCGTTATGGTTTGTCTTTTTAAATATGATAAAAAATATGATACAGCGGTAATTCATCCTGTCTCGAGTCTAGACTATGTCTATGTGTATAATCTATGATGTCTATAGAATATAAAATATTAGGTGAATGAAGTTAGCCCCTCAAAAAAATTTTTTTTTCCTGTTTTATACTTATTTTCTATTAATTCGTTTGTTCATCATTTGTTCTTGATTGTTTACTGTTAATAATTGTTTGTTCCCCATTAATTTATTTTAAAAAAAATATTAAAAATATATCTAAAAGTTAGCCCCTCGATTGCAATTTTTAATATTTTTTCGTCCTTAATTACTCGTAAATATTCATTTTCGATTGTTCTTATATAAAATACGTTTGTTCTCTTTCGAAATTACTCATTTTTTGTTTAATTAATTGTATTAGTTGAATAAATGTATACAAAATATGTGNTGACTTTGTATTCCATTGGCAGTCACAAAACTCTTCTGAACGACATCTTAGATAAATAACAGGTTAAGTATTAACCTTTATTTAATGCAGGTTTTGAACCGTATTCTTTGAAGGAGACGATTATATTCAAATCAATCTGTATTGACATATCAATAAATTTTTTTTGTCCAAATGCACAGATTGCCACCTTTGATAATAGACGACTCAATTGTAACGTAACGCTGGTGATATAACGAATGTAAAGTGTTAATTAATTACCTACTTCTCTATAGTTATAATTGCCATCAACTGAGTAGCTTTATTGATGTATTTAACACTAATCATACCAACACTTACTGTCTGTTAAGTATTACTCAAAATAAACAAAAAAAAAAGTATAGGTAATAACTGTAGTTTAATTGGTAAGAAGTCATGAAGTCAAATGTGCAAAAGCAATAAGATGATATGTGCATTTTCAATGCAAAAGTTCAAAATGGGTCATTTGAATCGTTAAGCTATGTCTTGTTAAATATTATAGAAAATATGATCCAGCGGTAATTCATCCAGTCTCGAGTCTAGACTATGTCTATAGAATATAAAATATTGTTATGTAGATATGCAACGAAGATCGCAACGATTTCGCACGAAATAACCTCTCCGAGTTTCAAGGGCGTCGATTGTTCCAGAATGTAGTGGAACATATAACAACATCTACACAGTACAACACCCCTCAATCAATAAAACGGCTCACCCAAACGCACACATTCAAACTAACAGTGTAGTTCCGCTACTCGCCGTGAGGTGGTTTCTTGCAAACTATAAAAACGTGCTAACCAGTGCACCGGCATGCCAATTCACGAAAGCTGTGTTGCGAGTTCGAACGAACTGTGATATCACTTGATATTTCGCATCCTAAAGTAAAGTAAAAATGTCTCTGCTGCCATTCATCCTGGGATACCAACCGAACCGCCTTCGCGATCAGGACTTCGGACTGGCGCTTACTCCGGACGATCTCCTGACGGCCGTCATCACGCCAACGATGTCCAGAGATTACTACCGGCCGTGGAAGCAGATGGCGATGGCCAATAGAGACGTCGGTTCCACCATCACCTCGAATAAGGACAAATTCCAGGTCAACTTAGACGTTCAACACTTTTCGCCCGAAGAAATCTCAGTGAAGACAGCCGACGGCTACGTCATCGTCGAAGGTAAGCACGAGGAGAGGCAGGACGAGCACGGCTACATCTCTCGTCAGTTCACGCGGCGTTACGCTCTGCCAGAAAACTGTAACCCCGACACTGTCGAATCTCGGCTGTCCTCTGACGGCGTGCTGACCGTGATCGCTCCCAGGACTCCGGCTGCCACGAAGAACGAGCGAGCTGTTCCCATCACTCAAACCGGCCCGGTCCGGAAGGAGATTAAGGAGCCCACTGCGGAAGTTGAGAGCAACGAAACAAAACAATGACTCTCGGAACGCTGTGAATCAAAAAAGTGTAGCGTGTGTTAATTTTATTTGCATTCCTCGTGCGTGCTTGTGAGACTGATCGCTTTATCGTATTTATATTTAATAAAACCTATTAATAAATAAATTGTTTGATTTATTTAAATCGATGTATTCATGTACCTACACGCACGTTTGATGGACTCGTTTATCAAATACGAATCGTCGGCAATAAGTAGTTTTCATTGCTAACAAAAACAATAAGTATATTTAAGATAAGTACAGAGGGTTCCGTCCGTATAGTCTGTCACAGTTCTAGCTCACTTCCGTCACAAAATTTTTGATGGGAACCCGTAGTTAACTTATTATTTGCTTCCCCACAATCGATTCTTAAGGTAGATGTTTACATTATATCGCTCTCTTGTGATTTCAATTTTAGTGGCAGTGGAAACGACGGGTGTGTGGAGTTCGGAGGCCAAAAAGTTTATTGCCGCAATTGGCGACCGCCTCAGAGGGCAAGGCCACGATCCTCGGTCTGCTTCGATGATCGAAGTCGGTCTGGGTCGTACCTGGTTCAGAGATTATCCATTGCCATACAGCGTGGCAATGCTGCTAGCGTAATGGGTACTTTCGGGCCAGGAGCGATCCAGAGTGGCTTGTTTGACTAGCCGATGCCTACGCGCGCATTGCTGTTAGCGCGGACCTATTTATGTTACTTATAATGACGCTTGCAGCTGAAAGTAAGTATTGTACTTTTTGACGAAGCATTTTAGTTATACAATTGACATCTGAGCCGTTTGTCTCAATATCGGTATCCAAATCGTGTTGTCTATTCTGTAAGCTACGGATTTTAATATTTAATTTGATCTTGTCCTTACCTGATGTTTAAGCGGCAATAAAACCGGTTTTCAGCACAATGTGAACGCAACCCAAAAAGATACAATAGAGGAACACAAGTTTTTATTTATTTTATTGCTTAGATTGGTGGATGAGCTCATGGCCCACCCGGTGTTAAGTGGTTACCGGGGCCCATAGACACCTAAGACGTAAGTGCCGCCACCCACCTCGAGACATGAGTTCTTAGATCACAGTTTTTACAGTACAACGGCTGCCGGCTGTTTTGCGTAATTACCGGTGGTAGGACCTCTTGTGAGTCCGCACGGGTAGCCACCACCACCCTGCCTATTTCTGATGTAAAGCAGTAATGGGTTTCGGTTTGAAGGGTGGGGCAGTCATTGTAACTTTACTGAGACTTTGGAACGCCTTATATCTCAAGATGGGTGACGCATTTACGTTGTGATGTCTATGGGCTCCAGTAACCATTTAACACCAGGTGGGCTGTGAGCTCGTCCACCAATCTAAGGAATAAAAAACAAGTTATGTACCACTTTAAAAATGTAAGAAGAAATGCAAACTTGTAATAAAGGAGGTGTAATTCGAAAAAAAAAATCAGAGAGAGATTAATTCTTACCAGAAATTTTAATTATGGTCTAATTTCTTTCTTTTCTTTTTATCGATTCAAAAGGAATTCAGAGAACTACAGTATTTCAATGGAAGTCAACAAAAGACTCGACACAATGACATCTTTGTGTTCATTATCAACTTCAACGATGTGTGTCTTAAATGTCAATTGTATTATGGATATGTGTATACTACAATTGAGGCCATCAGCGCAAAAACGGCCTAACCCACAATTTTTTATATTCAAGCTTATATAACGTATATTGGAATTTATTTAAGATATAATTAATTTTTATGCAAAACCGGCCTATCCACAGTTTCAGCCATAGATAACAGATAGCTTTGTAAACATTATTTTTGCGCGTATTGTTTTTTTGCCTACTGTAACGGACGTGACGTTAGCTGCCATGCCCTGCCGCCAGCCATGCCGCCAAGCCATGTTAGCACGCCCCCTTCCGCCACTGTCACTAGCCAAAGCCAACGAAGGGGGGATAGTGTTAATAAAACAAGCCATGCCAGCCATTTCTACCCGCTTTCTGCTTTCTTGCACAAATAAATTAGCTTGTCGTTACGCTGCTGGTTTTTTTTTGTCGCATCATTTGCAACACTACTCAAATTCAAAATCATGAAAATTCAAACCTAATTGCCTCCATACTAACTATGAAAAGCTTAGGTCACTTTTGCGCTGAATGCCTCAATTGAGGCTTTAATCTCATGTGTCAAGGAGGACAGCGGCATCAACGTTGTGAGGCCTTGAGTTCTGGTTACCATTAACACGAGGTCGGCCGTGAGCTCGTTCATTTGTCTAACCAACAAAAAAATCTTGAACACAGTATAGTTATGGACTTAATACCAGTCAGGGGAAATGTCCCGCGGCACAGATCCATCACTCCACAGCAGTAGCTGCTACAGAAGATGTTTGACAGATGCCTGAATTGCGCTAATGACATTTTCACGATTACCAGTTTGAAGTCGTCGTGGCCTAACGGATAAGACGTCCGGCGCACTCGTGTTGAGCGATGCACCGATGTTCGAATCTCAGGCGGGTACCAATTTTTCTAATGAAATACGTACTCAACAAATGTTCACGATTGACTTCCACGGTGAAGGAATAACATCGTGTAATAAAAATGACACCCGCAAAATTATAATTTGCGTAATTACTGGTGGTAGGAACTCTTGTGAGTTCGCGCGGGTGGGTACCACCGCCCTGCCTATTTCTGCCGTGAAGCAGTAATGCGTTTCGGTTAGAAGGGTGGGGCAGCCGTTGTAACTATACTGAGACCTTAGAACTTATATCTCAAGGTGGGTGGCGCATATACATTGTGGATGTCTATGGGCTCCAGTAACCATTTAACACCAGGTGGGCTGTGAGCTCGTCCACCCATCTAAGCAATAAAAAAAAAAACCAGACCCGAATTTCAATATGTAGGTCGACGGTTGTATATCTCCCATTTGTAGATTCTTCTAGAACTCAATACAATTACAATTAGGAGTACCTTGAATTGGTATTTGGTAAAGCGAATTTTTCAAATAGCCGATATGACCTTACAGTTCTGATGTGAGATTTGGGCTCAGCTTATAAATCCCAAATTGTTTTCAGTTTAAGTAAGGCGTTGCTGCTTCAGCTTTCGATCGAGACTTCCAAAGTTCTACCTGCTTTCGGCTTCCAGAGCAAACCATTCTACCTGACCACCTGTAGATACAACGCACTATAGACGCATATAACTCAGTGGGTTAAGTGTTACTTTATTCCATTTATTTACAAGGGCGGATCCAGCTTTGGCGCTAGGAGGGGGTCACATAGTCGTGGGCAAGTTAAGAACTTCTAATTTAATTTTGATAACAATAGATAATGAATAAATCATGATATTCTTCAATTAGTCCAAGTTAGTTCAAGTCCTGGAACTAGCTCAGAGGGGGGGTCATGACCCCCATGACCCCCCCCCTGGATCCGCCGTTGTTTATTTATTATGTTTACCTAAAAATATGAGAAACTAATGGTGTTACGATGTCACGGTAACGATAGAGAGCCAGTGTTACTAATTTAAAGAACAATATTTAAGATATTACAAAGCTATTCACTACTTCGTCAGTATTGCCATTTAAACGATAATAAGCTGACGTAATCGACTGTTGTCTGAAAGAAATCACTGTACGCCATCGCATTACTCGTTAAAATTATTTATTAAAGTATTATCCAACATTTTACTTTGAGTTTCGGAGGGTATTATTTCTTTGAACAGACAGAGAAGCAATTAAATTATTTATCAGTAACGGTATAAGTACGTTAAGTGGCTGCGTGGGTCTCTACAACATATCCAAAAAACCCACGTTAGTGTACCTTATACATAAGAACATACAAATATAATTATTGGTAAAATTCATATATATTCATAGTCGTCGTGGCCTATCAATTTTTCTAATGAAATACGTACTTAACAAATGTTTACGATTGACTTCCACGGTGAAGGAATAACATCATGCAATAAAAATAAAACCCGCAAAATTATAATTTGCGTAATTACTGGTGGTAGGACCACTTGAGTCCGCGCGGATAGGTACTACCGCCCTGCCTATTTCTGCCGTGAAGCAGTAATGCGTTTCGGTTTGAAGGGTGGGGCAGCCGTTGTAACTATACTTGAGACCTTAGAACTTATATCTCAAGGTGGGTGGCGCATTTACGTTATAGATGTCTATAAGCTCCAGTAACAACTAACACCAGGTGGGCTATGAGCTCGTCCACCCAACTATGCAATAAAAAAATTTTGTAATGATTGCACTGAAACTAAGTATACGTGAGCACGCATTTTGTAAGTTCCACGATCCAGTCTAAATAGGCACCTTAGGCCCAAATAGGAGCCTCCTGGCTGAAACCTTGAAAACATCAACTTATCTTGGCGAAAATGGAAGGGGCCTAATCGGTTACCAGCTGTCCTGCCAAAGCAAAAAAATATTGAAAGTAGAATAGACGCTACGTAACACCATTAAGAGAGTCGTTTAGACGAGAGAAATAAAATAGAAACATTCTGCAAAAAAATTACAAATATTTTCTTTACTAAATATTCGTCTTTTAATATGTACTCAAATATATTTGTTATTTAGGTAAATGTGTTCGTACGCTTCCATACTATACTTGAATTATTATTGGTATATTAATTTTGGTAAATATACCCTCATCATTTAAGTATAATTCTGATATTAGTCACAATGGAAAAAAACAGCGTCTATGTATTATGGTTTTCAAAAATTAATTGTCATCACAAATTTCGTGTAATACGTAAATAAATAAAAAATACCTTTTCAATGAAAATTCTTAAATGTTTATTGTGAACTCAGTCTTTACACAGGAATGACTACTACATCTAGAAATTACTAAACACTAAACGGTATTGCATTTCTGACTTCCGTCTTCACAGAACCCCTGATCAGCTTCTTTTGCATTTTTAGACTCTGCAGATTCTTTGCGAACCGGGCCAGTTTTAGTGATAGGAACAACTCTTTCTCCCTTATCGTCTATCACCTTTCTGGGCGCTGTGACCGTCAAAATTCCGTCAGCGGATAGCTCGGAGACGACGTTAGCTGTGTCAGCCCCTTCTGGTAAAGAGTACTTGCGCACAAACTGCCTAGACACGTATCCGTGCTCGTCCTGTTTTTCCTCGTGCTTAGCCTCAACTACCACGTAACCTTCCGCAGTCTTCACAGATATTTCATCCGGCGAGAAATGTTGGACGTCCAAATTGATCTGGAATTTATCTTTCTCCGTTTTGATTGTGGAGCCTAGGTCGCGGGCCAAAGACGCCGTGTGCCGCCAAGGTCGGAAGTAGTCGTGAACTATCCACGGCGTCATCATGTTTGTTAAGAAGTCGTCCGGAGTTAGCGGCATCCCGAAGTCCTGATCCACAAGTTTGTTGTCTCGCTGCTTTTTACAGGGACATTCTTCATCTGCCACTACTGTATTGATCAACAGCAACACAGATAGCACGACAGTAATCGAGAACGGAATGAAATTCTTCATTATCACTTAGTTGCAACAATACCTCGATATTGTAATAACTCGTAATTCTCACCACTCAAATTCTTGTTTCCAATTGACAAGTTATCGCGCTTTCGTGCCTTTTATAGTTTGTTACGACATCTAGCGGCCAGTAGATAATTCTGGAATTTTCAAGTAAACGCAGACGTGTTTGATTTCAAGCTAACCACGTTGCATGACGTTACCTGTGATGCAATGTTTATCTTATCAGTGAAATAATTAAATAACATATTCAGATTACTTCTTAATATCATTTTTTAACAGATATCGTAATCATCGAAATAAAAATTCTTTGAAAAAAATTTTAAACTTTGCAAAGTCAGAATTATTTCTTTGATTTAATATATTACAAAACAATGCGTTGTATTTCTTGGTAAAAGAACAATATATTCTACATTTTGATTTTTTTATTGGTATTTGCTCAGAATCTTAATTACTTATTACTTTAAAGTTTTTTAAAATTGGTGACAGTGACATCTATCGTCCAGTGGATAAGATAACAAATGTATAAACACTGATGCATTTTGCAGCGTCTAGGTCGTTGAACCATCGACGAGTGTGTGGAAGTTTCATTTCGTTATATATATTCTGGAAGATTCTAGAATTTCGACTAAATTGTTTGGTTGAAAGCCCTTTGCGCAAGTCACGGATGGCCATGTATGTATATGTGTGCAGCTTACAATGTTAACAATAATAACAAATATGTGATTTCTGTATAATGTAGAAGTAGGTACCTATTCAAAATTCTTTTTGTTATTATTGGTAGCTTGTTTATGTATAGTCAAAATCTGTTATAACGACATCGAAGGGACTGCTCATATTCAGTCGTAATAACCGATAGTCGTATAATAATAACAACCGATGATGTTTAATGTGTATCGTGCAAGTACAAACAAATCGATAGGGAATTATTGGAAAAATATATTTATTCAACTATGTACATTTTGTTTATTACACAAAGTACAATGCATATTATTTTTCTGTGAGCATAAAATCTGTAATTTTGGTCTGTTTGGAACACTTCTGTTGTGCATAGATATTTTGTAATTCACGTTGGATTTTAATTAACGTATCCTCATAATTGCTGTGGATGTGGAAATGTTCATTAAAAAGAACAATCTTTCTTAATATACTAACAGCATTGATACCATCATTCAAAGTTGGTACAGTAAATTGTTCTTCAGAGTCTTCCTGTTCGTCATCTTCCTCTTGAACATCTCGTACAATATCATATTCCGTAGCTCGTGCGCAAATTGCAATAGAGTTATCTACATNTAACGTATCCTCATAATTGCTGTGGATGTGGAAATGTTCATTAAAAAGAACAATCTTTCTTAATATACTAACAGCATTGATACCATCATTCAAAGTTGGTACAGTAAATTGTTCTTCAGAGTCTTCCTGTTCGTCATCTTCCTCTTGAACATCTCGTACAATATCATATTCCGTAGCTCGTGCGCAAATTGCAATAGAGTTATCTACATCAATGAACTCTGCTGCTTCAGTAGTAGATGAAGCAGGTCGTAAATTTAGGGCTAATTGAGCAAGAGAAATATTGTCCTCTCCATCATCATCAGTCACATCATCTGAGGTTATTGTTAAGAGGTCTTTAAAACCAGCATGTTTAAAGCAGTTAGCTATAGTGTTTTGTGAAACGTTTTTCCATGCTTCTGATATCATTAAGATGGCATCAAGAACCGTAAACCTTTTTTGTTCGCTACTGTCAAGATTTTGTATTAACTTTAACACTTGCAGTCTTCTATAGTGAGATTTTAAACATCTTATGACACCTTGCTCCATTGGTTGCAATACAGATGTAACATTTGGTGGTAAGAACACCAGTTTAATGCATTTTAGATTAGTAACAGCCGGATGAGCAGGACAATTATCAACCAAAAGTAGAACTTTCTGTTTGTTTCCTTTTAATTCAGCGTCCCAGTTTCTTAACCATCTCTCAAAAATGTCCGATGTCATCCATGACTTCACATTGTTTTCATACGTTACCGGCAGTGAGTGTATGTTTTTAAAGCATCTTGGTTTCTTAGATTTGCCAATAACTAAAAGCTTTCTTTTACAGGATCCTGTCATATTTGCTGCAACCATGATCGTTAATCTTGTCTTAGACATTTTTCCTCCCGAACAATTCTCTCCTTTGAACTTTAAAGTCATGTCTGGTGTCATATTGTAAAAAAGTCCAGTTTCGTCTGCGTTAAAAATTTCATCTGGTCCGTAGCCTTCGAATAATGTAGGCCACTTTTGCGTTATCCATTCTTCTACAGTATCCTTATCAACACTAGCAGCTTCACCACTCATTTTCCCGCCGACAATACCGTGCCGAGCCCGGAAACGTTGGATCCAACTAGACGAGCAAACAAAATCTTCGCCAAAACGTTGAGCAAAATCGTTAGCTTTTTGTTGAAGAATCAGTCCGTTTATTGGCACATTATTAGCCCTTTGATATTTAAACCACTTCAGCAAAGCTTCCTCAATATTCGTATGCTTCGTTGATCTGGCTCGTTTCATTTTCAAAAAATTATTGTCATAAAGCGTTTGAATTTTTTCTCGCTCTTTCCAAATGGTTGAAATTGTCGAGTGTGATACACCATATTCCTTTGCTAAGTCTTTGTTTGAAATTCCGCTCTCTAGCTTGGATATAATACGCGATTTTTCTTCAATATTTATTTGTTTTCTTTTTCTTTGCGACATTTTGAAAGTTTCACGAATAACTCCACAAAGTTTTGGTGCGTCTTGTGTATAGATAAGTAACAAACTAACTGAAGAGATATGAAGAAGCGGGCTTTGACTCTACCGCATGCACGTGTTTTGTTTCTAAGAATTAGAAAAGACCCTGCACTAAACTAAATCCTATTGTTTTCTTTCCTGATTTTAATAGCCATTGAAGACAAGGATACCTATTCAAATTGTTTACAATACAGCTGAGCCGGTCGTTCTAACAGATCTAATTCTCCGAAATATTAGTTAAATGTGGTCGTTTTATGAGGTATGTCGTTATTAGCAATGTCGTTTAAAATAATGTTTTTAATAAGCTGGTCATATAGCATTCAGCCGGGACCTTTGTTCTAGATTATTATAACCGGCATGTTATTCTAAACGATGTCGCAGTAAGCTATTTTGACTGTATTATCTACTGTTGCTGTTGCTGAAGTCGACGGCTACCAATCACAATTCAAATCTATAAAATCTGTTCTTAATTGGTAATTAAGCTAGTTACACCGTATAAATAAAAACGTCTCGTGCTAGCACGGGTGCAGCTTAGATTTCTGTTGATTTGGTCCATGGGCGACAGTAACCACTCGCCATCAGGTGGGCCGTACGCTCGTCTGCCTGCTAGGACAATAATAAAAGAAAATGGCCTTAATTTACTTATCTTTATGTCATAGAATTTAAATAAATGTAGTATTATTATAATAGCCATCGCATGTGTACCTAATTCTCAAATATGTACCAATTTTATACTGGTGGTAGGACCTCTTGTGAGTCCGCACGGGTAGGTACCACCGCCCTACCTATTTCTGCCGTGAAGCAGTGATGCGTTTCGGTTTGAAGGGTGGGGCAGCCGTTGTAACTATACTGAGACCTTAGAACTTATGTTTCAAGATAGGTGGCGCATTTGCGTTGTAGATGTCTATGGGCTCCAGTAACCACTTAACACCAGGTGGGCTCTGAGCTCGTCCACCTATCTAAGCAATAAATAAAAAATTTATACGAAACACAGTAAATCTATCTTCTTCTTCTATATAATATATATATAAAAATGAGTTGCGGTTCGTTAGTCTCGCTAAAACTCGAGAACGGCTGGACCGATTTGGCTAATTTTGGTCTTGAATTATTTGTGGAAGTCCAGAGAAGGTTTAAAAGGTAGACAATTATGAAAATGCTCGGAATTAAATAAAAATAACAATTTTGTTTTTCCTTTGATGTGTCCCCCGTCGGACGGATTCCTTTTGTTTGTTTTAAGTTTATTTTATACAAAAGTTTAGATCTTTTATTTATCGATTGAGGCACTACGAAGTCTGCCGTGTCAGCTAGTATAAGAATAAAAAATGAATTTTTGGAATATCAGCAAACAGATTAATGCAATAGAACGATGTATGTATTGTAACAAGAAAACTTGCAGGATCGATCGATTTTTTGCATATAAATATGTAATATGTACCAACCTGTTTTTTTATGTTTTATTTCATCGGTTTTCCTTCGATATATGTAATTAAAATTACTTTTAGGGCTCAATCTCGTGATTTTAATCCTATTTTAATGAGCTTTGTTTGTGTTCATACATCCATACTTAAGTATCTGTAACATTAGAATTACGTTTAGCTGGGCACAAAAGAACGCGTGATACTGCCAAGACATGACCGATTAAATACTTGTACACTTAAAATTCAAATGATGGTGTACGGAAATTACTGAAGTTTTTCTCTTGTTTAAGCACTGGTGGTAGGACGGCTTATGAGTCCGCACGGATAAGTACCACTACTCCGACTATTTGTGCCGTGGAGCAGTAATGCGTTAGGGTTTGAAGAGTGGTCAGTAGTTGCACTGTAAAAACTGAGACCGATCTCATATCTCAAGGTGGGTGGCGGAATTTACATTGTAGATGTCTATGGGCTCCGGTAGCCACTTAACGCGAGGTGGGCCGTGGCCTCGTCCACCCATGTAAGTAATAAAAAAGAAATATAAAAATAGTAGACTTATGTTGATATCTCGTACATTAAAAAATAGTGATTTATAAAATAAATTAAAAAGTATATTCTAGCGGACCCATGTTAGGAAAGCCTACATTTAAAAAATGAGATTCGCGCCATCTACCGTCATACTGTTGAACTACATTGTCAGTACATGGCTTAGCAAAGGATTATTGTTGAAATCTAAGGTCGTTTCCTTAAGCTCTTTAGAAATCCAAACTCTTACAGATTTGATTCAACAATATCGCGATCAGAACCAAATCGCTATACTTAATAAATCAAACACACTTTCTAAATATCGTGGTATATTTTCAAAAATATCATATTACAATTACCTGCATTATTTATTTACATTGAAAAATTGTTAAAAATAAAACCAAATGAATCCAAAATCATATCTTCATTTACACGAAACTGATGATATCTATACTTAAACATGCATCGTGTGATTTAAAGTGGATATTTACAAAACAAAACTGTATCATATTAGTTTGTACAGTCCGAACTGGAGTTAAAATCAAACACTGATATTAATTTGTTTTCACTGTGTATTTCAGATTAATTTATATATATTTTTTATTTTTTTATTGCTTAGATGGATGGACGAGCTCACAGGCCACCTGGTGTTAAGTGGTTACTGGAGCCCATAGACATCTACAACGTAGAGGCGCCACCCACTTCGAGATATAAGTTCTAAGATCTCAGTATAGTTACAACGGCTACCCCACCCTTCGAACCGAAACGCATTACTGCTTCACGGCAGAAATAGGCGGGGTGGTGGTACCTACCCGTGCAGACTCACAAGAGGTCCTACCACCAGTAANGGCCACCTGGTGTTAAGTGGTTACTGGAGCCCATAGACATCTACAACGTAGAGGCGCCACCCACTTCGAGATATAAGTTCTAAGATCTCAGTATAGTTACAACGGCTACCCCACCCTTCGAACCGAAACGCATTACTGCTTCACGGCAGAAATAGGCGGGGTGGTGGTACCTACCCGTGCAGACTCACAAGAGGTCCTACCACCAGTAATAATAAACATAATTGAAGTCCAATTAAAAATATCGAACTGTTGATGCTAATACCAAATAAAACGGACCTTTAATTAAACAAAGATAAATTTCGCTTAAGCCAAACAACCTTTCACCTCTCAATATCATATAAAATCTAATTCGTTTAGAATCACTTCCAAAAAAACATCAGTGTTTGATAATTATAACACCAGTACTAATGAAAAAAGGCTAATAACTAAACAAAGCATCGACACAGTCTATGTATAAAAGTCTATCTATTTATTATAATTTATATAAAAAAAGCGCATTGTTATAATTATCTAGGAAGCGATCTGAGCCTTTCTTGCTTCTCAATTAATTTAATACAAATATTGTATTCATTTACATTCTCTTCAGAGCATACGGAATGTGGCTGAGAGAAAACAAATAATTATATTGTTAACCTTTTTTTTTTCAGGTCATATGAGTCGACTATTATCAAAGCCGGCAATCTGACTTTTGGACAATGATTGGTAAATCAGAAAAACGAATTATTGACTTTGTATTCCATTGGCAGTCACAAAACTCTTCGGAACGACATCTTAGATAAATAGCAGGTTAAGTATTAACCTTTATTTAATGCAGGTTTTGAACCGTATTCTTTGAAGGAGACGATTATATTCAAATCAATCTGTATTGACATATCAATAATTTTTTTTTGTCCAAAAGCACAGATTGCCACCTTTGATAATAGACGACTCATATATGATGCGTTAAAGAATTATTAACTAATTATTAAATATCATTATAATAATAATCTCTAAATAGTATGGCACATCAAATCTTTATAGATTTATTTTATGTTCTTATTTTATACTTTAATCCAATGGTCGTCACTCTTTTATAGGACAATGTGAGGTATCACTGCGGGACACACCTTTCTGGACTGTTTAGTTGACCACCAGTCAATTGACATATTTAATATCAATTATCAATAGGCTATTGTTCTATAGATAAATCAATTAAAATTATTATTTATGCAACGTGGGTAGCTTATTGATTAGGAACAGGCGTGAAAACATATCTGTAATGAAAAAGATGGTAAATATATTATAACAGTATTTTTTATTTCTACTAAATTTGTTTGCTCTGCCACGGCTTTAATCAGTTTACAATTTGCAAGGCTTTTTGAATACTTGCATCACCGATTTTACATAAGCAACATGTAATATACACACATATGCCATATTGAACGGTAAAAATGTTTTTAAATGAGTAAAATCATTTTTAAACTACCCCCCATTGTGCCAATCGATTGTATGATAACTTAATTACTTCAATTGCATTGTTGCACTCAAATTATTTTCTCTCAACGACATTCCATTAAATTCAATTTCTTTCAATTTCCGCATTAACCTAACTCTTACAAGCTAATTTTTGTGGAATTTTATAATACGAAAAAAAAAATAGTAGATTCTAAGGCCAAATACATATTGTATGCATCGTTATAAAAACATTATAATAACTATATTATTATTTACACCAGCCTTTCTCGAAGCGGGTCCCTGGAGGTCNTCTCTCAACAACATTCCATTAAATTCAATTTCTTTCAATTTCCGCATTAACCTAACTCTTACAAGCTAATTTTTGTGGAATTTTATAATACGAAAAAAAAAATAGTAGATTCTAAGGCCAAATACATATTGTATGCATCGTTATAAAAACATTATAATAACTATATTATTATTTACACCAGCCTTTCTCGAAGCGGGTCCCTGGAGGTCACGTGGTTACCGGGACCTTAAGGTATCAGATTCTTTGAAGATATTCACTTAAAACTTAAAAGAGGTATTTTTTATCTTATAAGATAAAAAAATTTTTTTTTCAAATAGGTAAAATTGCATGTAAATCTTTTTATATATTATATTAAAGGATATCTCTTGCAAACTGTGGCTGGGAGAAGCGATAAATTTTAAAATGTATTAAACTGAGTTGTGACGTCATCGAACAACAAGAAATGCGAACATAGCGATACAAAAGAACTAAAGGAGATATCTATTAAAGTAATAAAACCAGTTTGTTACAGTTTTACTGGAGAAATTTGACGAATGCCGCACCAATTACTTTATCGATGCATACAAAATAATAATTTAATTAAAGTTCATTAGCATTTTCAAACGTTTTACCCCACGTGTACGTCGCGCCATTTTGTTTTGTGTTGCATTGCGTGCTGTTACCGTAGATTGGGGGAATGGGCCTAGGGGTAGAATAGGGACAAATCTGGGTTGTCACAATGCATTTGTGAGATTTAAATTTGTTGAATTGAAAATAACTTTTATTTAGTGTTTGAGAATATTAAAATAATTTAATTTAGTCATCAGAGTTTTGTAACTGATTCGAGATATTAAAAAGTTAGTTACCTAAAGGTAAGTACCTACCTAACAACTAAACAGTGCCAGCCCTATCGAAGAACTGTATTCTCCACATACGTGACCCGATTCACCCCAAAAGCCAAGGTAAATCAGGTCAAGCTAGTTTTTTAAAGTTTTTGTGTATATTTTTCAATAAATGCATGGTATCAGCCTCCGGAACCGTTTTAATCTCAATTTTGTTGGTATTACCCTAACAAAAACTGCTGAAAATTTGTATTTGAATTGGAAAACGTCCCGATTTCCCCCAATCTACTGTAATCACTTAAGATTTCTATGGATCACGAGTATTCACCTGGACTAGTTCTTCAGAAGTTCCTCAGTCGCGGCGCGGTACGTACGCGAGGACCCAATTGAAAAGCTTGCTTTAGGCTGACTCCCTACTTACTTATACTGAGAGCTTACAGATCTGTGATGTTCTTTGTTCAAGTTAGTTTTCGGTTGAGAATAGGCACCGCCCGCCATTGGAGTAAAATTAATCCATACTACCTGGAGCCACTGCGTTCATCGACAGTGCGTTTCTAGAGATCATTTTCCCACGCACCATCCGGCTTTGTAATGAGCTTCCCTTCACGATGTTTCCAGAGCGCTATGACATGTCCTTCTTCAAACGAGGCTTGCGGAGAGTACTTAACGGTAGGCAGGCAATAAAAAAAAATTAGCTTACAAGTTTTCAAATAACATAGAACAAACTGTAAATGAACAAATCATAGGGGATTCCCCGTGGCATGCCAACTAGAGTTCCTATAGATATTTGTTTACGTTTCAATATTCGCTCGCTATTATTATTTAGATATTAACAACGAAACAAATAGAAAACATTGCGCCGGTACCGAACTCACGACCCTGAGCCCCACAGTCGGACGTGCTCACGTTACAAAGCTTAGTATTTGATGTTTTGAGCATGTATATATCACAATACATTTACAACTTAAATATAGTTTCAATCACTTTCAAAATTGCATACCAAAAAAAAAAAAAAAAACAGTTCGAATTATTTCTCATATTCTCCAGACTATAATATAATCATAAGTTTTCTCTATAGTTACGTTTAAATAAATAAATAACTTCTTTAAAGCGGTCCGCAGTGAATCAAAGAACAGCACAGATACAAATCCGTCATTCGTTCACACTTCGACTTTTACAAGATCGTTACAATACTAATAATATGTCGGTACAAAATCTAATTACAAATTACATTATCGTTAATCCTAAATATAGAAAATACGTTTAGACAGTCGCGGGCACGAGTCGCCTCGTACGTTTCAATATATAGAAAACATTTTACGAAAAAAATACTTTAAAAAAATCTTTGTAAACACATCGAAAAAATTTTCTAACGCAGTTAACGCGCGTGCTCCGGTCAGTGCTGACCCGGGACACTTGTGTCCGAGCATGCGATTCTTGTGAGCGCGGAACACGCAATTGGAATTTCCCATGCACGATTTAAATTTATTACAATTAATTACTGGCAACACTGTGCCCAACGACGGTGTTGCCAGTAATGCGCGACTGCACCGGGCGCACGCGCGTTCAACTTCGTCCAAATATTTGTGCTACACTGGGGTACTCGATTTGGCTTTGAAATAACATTTACCCGATGAGATTTTCACAAAACCTCATTCCGACACATTACTATTAAAAAAACAAAAAAAACTTTAATTCAAAAGTGATATCATTAAAATGGCCTCTGTTATCATTATCAAAATAAATACGCACGTAACATTATAAATATCGTCATCTCTTTGGACAATAGCGCGGAGCATCAGGGCTCACGGGAACTTAACTAGGGCAGATCTAACACTAACTCGCTCATCTATACTGCAAGTCCCATATCAGGACGCGAGATGCTTCAACTTCTGAATGTACACTCCTCCCCTCCACTCTACGTGTTATATCTATACTTATAAAGCTTCCAATATGATTCAGTGTGCTTAAATATTTGTATGGAGTTGGAACAGTTTCCCTTCGTTTGCCGCACTGTTCCAACTCCATACAAATTCAAGTTAACTTTTACCTGATCGAGAACGTTAAAAAACTCGCACTAAGCACACATTAGGAGTGCGTTATTATTACCTCCGCCGCGGCACACACGGTTACGATATTGTGACCGCGAGACGATGACGTCAGCAAACCGATTCTGTCACTGTCGCACGCGTACTAATTGTTCCGTGTCGGAGCGAGACAGACACATCAATGTATTCAAACTTGTTAGCGAGGATGTACATTCAGAATTTAAAACAACCCTTTCATTTCTTTCGTCAACTATGAAAAAAAAAGATTACAAATACACAAAATATACAAAACTTAAACGAAAGGAAAGTTAAATCTATTATATTTAATACACCAAATCAGTATTGCCATCCCTGTCTATCACCTTCACACTTGCTTGACGAGAGAGAAAGAGACAGAGAGGGGGTGAGTGTGTGTTTGAGAGAAAGAGAGATCCTTATGTTGTACAGCGTCCGTCGTCACGTCACGCGGCAACAGACGATGGACATAAAAACGCGAATGTCAATGTCTACAAATTATTAATTTCTACCTCGGAGCATTCCGAAGCTTTCCACTGGCGATGTAAGGAAGTTTTTGGAGCTTACAGATTGTCTAATGGTAAATGGTTACCAGAACCATACCTCGAGACTTCATTCATTACAGTTTCAACCTAATTGTTAAGAAAATAAAGAATATTTTCAATCCGTCAAAAAACATGAATATCGCACTTTTGCTTGTGTTGCCTGATAACTATCTACCGTCGAGCGAATACTGTTTGGACGCAATCAACACTAACATTCACGTTGCATTTTAAGCCTTATCCCGATGTATTTATAGTCTGTATACATTTAACTGTCTTCTAGTAGATTATGTAGCTCCGCGTAGTTTAAGATCGCTCGGTGCAGAAACTCGTACTGCGACTGGAAACAAAGATATAATATCGTTATAAAGTGACATAAGTGACATAAGGGTGCCCCCGAGATCCATAATGCGCGAGAGCCGTCAATCATCCCGTCTCAGAGTACCTCGTGGTGGTACAAATTACAGACGTAATGCATTCTTTATAAGAGCTGCTAGCAGTTTCAATGCTCTAGCTGACTTCCCTGAACTGAACATTTTCAACACTTCTACTAAGAGTATTAGGAGAACATTAGTCTGTCGATGGTTGAATGCAAATATTTAATTAATTATTTTCTATTTACTACGTTTTTCTGTGTTTTTTCTCAAATTGTTTTATTTTTGTTTTTGTTTTACGTTTTACTTTAATTATTTAATTCTAGGCGATGCGACGCCCCAATCGTTCGTAGTTATTTAAATGCGGAGACATTTAAATGGTGTTTAGTTGTAAGGTTAGAGTTTATATAGATTAAGTTCACTGTTTGTCTTCCTAATAAAATAAAATAAAAATACATTAATTAATACACTAATTTCAAGAACTTTTGTTAATTGTAATATTTTAAGCTTACATATATATGGACAGTTTAATGAAATCCAAGAATTTCAGTTTAATTTTTGTCTAGTAACTTTCTATTTTTGTGTAATTTAAGTATAGCTTATGTATTCTTTGTACGAGGAGCACTGCTGCTTGAGATACAGGTTTTAATTTTTATAAGGGATTTTATAACCTGGTAACTAAGACCTTTAGGCAAAGTCTTATTTTAATTTATATTGTTATTTTTATGAAAAATGATATTATGGAGTGAAATTACTCCTCGCATTCCCGCTAAAAAGTCATACAGGTTTTATTAGTTAGTTTTTTTTATTGGCTTTTTAGGCAGATGAGCATACAGCCCACCTGATGGTAAGTGGTCACCGTCGCTCATGGACGTCAGCAATGACAGGGGCAGAGCCAAGCCGCTGCCTACCAGTTCAAGCACAAATGCAAATTATGATTGTGTTTCTACTTCTATGTTAACAATGAATAAATAAATAAATAATAATAAATATGAAAGTGTTGTGTAGTTGTTTGTACTGACGAAGGTGTCGATGGTCCTGGCCCGCTGCGCCCGCAGCTTGCGCACGGCGCCGCACACGTCCACGCGCCGCTCCGCACGCAGCTGCGCCGTCAGCACGCACAGCGCCACGAACAGCGGCGAGCGCTCGCACCCCGTCCTGCACAACGCACGCACTGTCACTGCTCACTACTCTATATACATGTGCATGTAAGCGCGACATCTAGTGGACGCGAGCCGCAACTACTCGTCAAACATCAGCTTACTTCGGGTGGCGTGCTTCGGCAGAGTGGAATCGACACACATTCATTGCCTAATTTAGGAAGAGTCATAGACAATACACATAAATTAGTTTCCCATTGCTCCTGTAGATGGCAGTAACACATTACCTATCCTATATTTTATTTTTGATGAAGGATTTTGTAAATTTTCAGAAACCACAAATTGATAAGATTTTATCAATTTGTCTATTTAACAAATAAAGACTTGTATGATTTATTAATTTCTCATTTTATGTGTTTAACTGTATAATAATTAAATGCCTTAACTTATCAGCATATAAGTTTGGAGGCATTTGCTACAAGATGTCGCTAGCTTCCATACAAAAAAGCATTTATCTTAAAGTATCGCAGTTTCCGGACCCTGGGAAGAGTGTAGACGTCTGTACAGAGAGGCGGGTACGTACTGGCAGTGCACGAGCAGGCGGTGCGGGCGCGCGGGCGCGGCGAGGTCGGCCAGGTCGGCGACGCCGCGCGTGACCTCGGGCACCGCGCCGGGCGCCGTCGGCCAGCCCACGTACTGCAGCTGCCGCACGCTCTCCGCGCCGCCGCCCTACGGACCAGCCGCAACCGTTACTGCTGCTACTGCTACTCGTGTTAGTATGTATGTCACGGAATCTTTCACTGTCATTTTGATCCCCTTCAAAACGTAGGATTAACTCGAAATTTGGCATAGGTACTCATCAAGGATCGGAGACAATTCAATATTTTAAACAATTAGTAGATCCGTTATTTATTTTTGTCAGTCAAAACAACAAATTCATTTGAGCGTGGTTATTTTTTTTTTCATTTAGTAAATTTGTATTTGGGTACATTAATGAATAATTTAATGCTGCTTGATCTAAAAAAAATAAAAAAAAATTGTTTAAAAAAACGCTATTATAGAAAATCCAATGAAAAAAGTTAGTAAATTTTTTTTATTGCTCTTGTAGGCACACGGCCCACCTGATGGTGATTGGTTACCGTCGCCCGTAGACTTCAGTAATGCCAGGGGCAGAGCCAAGCCACTGCCTAGCGCTAAATTATTATTAATTAATTATTTAAAATTTATTGAATAAAAAGTTTTTCTTTATTAGTCACAGTGACTCGTAACTCGTTTACTGGTGGTACAGTGTACAGTGTGTGTTACCTTATTGCTGATGAGGCGGAACTGCCTGCGCGTGTAGTAGGGCAGCGACTCGCTGTCCTCGTACTGGACGGTCAGCTGCTCGTACTGCGCCGCGCCGTCCTCCCAGTACCGCGGGCACTTGCCCTCGCCCAGCTGCCGACAACGAACCCTCAATGTAGTGTCTTACTGCTGGTATGACCTGAGTCCGCGCGTGTGGGTACCACCACCCTGCCTGTTTCTGCGTGGTGCGTTTCGGTTTGAAGGGTGGGGCAGCCGTTGGAGCAACACTCCGGTTTGAGCCCCGTGAGCTCACCTACGTGTTAGGGCGAAGCTGAAATAGCTTGTCAAGGCTATCAGCATAGGTAGGAAAAAAACAAAGTTCTAATGTGATAGCGATAAGGTACATGTACGTAATATACGTATCGGTACACGAACTAACTCGACAGTAAATAACTTCAATATAAAATGCATCCGTATGCAGTATAACGCGTGCACTTGCCCGTACAATAAAATTTAATTGTACTGAAAAAGTAAACAGAACTCTCCCATCCTTTGAGACGAGTGGCCCTGTGCCTTTGGACGGCAGGTCTTCTTTGTTGCTTTCTTCATTACTAAAGGTCATGTCCTCAGCTTCTTGTAAGTCAGCTGCGACTGGCACCTCAGTTAGATTAGTGGTTTGATCACATCACCTCGCCCTTCACAATCACTTGTCTAAGTTATCCGGCTGTCGGCGGGCAATGTGACCGAAGTAGCTGAAGATCCTTAGGTAGCAGATTGAGGCAGCAGATAAAGCTGACAATATTATGCAGCTGTTTAATTGAGTGTCGCACGCACCTCGCTCAGCATGACTATGGTGGATACGTTGTGCTCGGAGACCATCCTCCAGAAGTCCGCGATGGTGTTGGGCAGCGGGTCCTGGGTTATGATGAAGCCCTCCCAGTTGTCGTATGCTGGAAAATAACACAATTAAACAATAAATACATTCTTATATTAATGTCAATCTTTTGCAAAATCTATGACCTGCAAGTGTAACCGATGGTTAATAATTAAAATCTTAATATATATAAATCACGTGTCACGTTGTTTGTCCGCGATGGACTCCTAAACTACTTAACCGATTTTAAATTAAATTTGCACACCGTGTGCAATTTGATCCAACTTGAAAGATAGGCTGGTTTTTATTTCGATTAATGGTCGAAATATTTATTAATTAACAATAAAATGATTAATTATGTTGATTTTTGTTATTAATTGTAAGTTTCATAAGTCTAAAACAGATGGCGCCTTAAATCAGTTCTTACAGATAATTGTAATATTGCCTACATTAATATCTCATAGATGGCGCTGTGTTACAAATACCAACGTTTCACATAAGCTACAATTTAATGGCATAAACACCACGTGTTGCTGAGGATAAACTATAAGTGAAATTTATTTCGTAGTAAACGCAATACAGTGAAATCGAATTGTTCTTACTTTCTAAATTTTTGGTATTAGCATAGCCGGCCGCGTGTTATTTAGGAACAAAAACCTTAGCTACAGCAACGTGTGGCCGGGTCTGCTACTGTATTATTAAATTTAAAATAGTTGTTTTGACAACATGCTCGGCCACAGTTAATCAGAAGCCTCCAGCGCCCAGGTCTCCCTGAGCTAGTCCCACTCCCCGTGTCGGACCGCGACGTACCTTCGATGAAGGAAGCGTTGATGTATGTGGAGTAGTCCCGGCCGGGCAGCGGCGCCAGGATGACCTGGTTCCTGGTGTAGGGCAGGTGCTCCTGGCTGCGGTTCTTGCAGCGCAGCTCCTCGGCGCCGCCTGCGCACGGCCGCGGGGGCTCCTCCACCGGACCCTTCAGGACTTTCTGTCGGAGCGTGGACAACACTTTGGAGCATCTATACTAATACTGTATTCCTTTCCTGAATTCCTTTTAATACTGTATAAACTATTACATGTACATATGTATGTATGTATGAATGTATGTATTTATGTATGTTTGTATGTAGATGTATCTGTGATTGTGTATATATGTATATATATATACTTTTTTGTGCATGTATTCGTAGCTTAATATAAATTTCATTGCACCTACCACTATTTACTCTGCACTACCTTTGATTGACTGGTAGAGAATGCCTTAGGCATTAAGTCCGCCAATGTACATTTTACATGAATTGTAATAAATAAATAAATTTAGAAATCTACGGTGGTTTGTACGGATGTTCCGTTATAACTACTGAACCATGCATCCGATTGACTTGAAACTTGGTATCCATGTTGAAAATACATGTACTTAATGGATAGGCTAATGTTTATATGAGTGTTGGACTCGCTACACCAGTTGCGGGGGCGTTAATGATGAGAATCTTTGTGGGGGTGAAAAATAATAATGTTAATCTTAAATTTCCAGCGAAGCGGACGGGTACAGCTAGTAGTTTATATATTTTAAGCCGCAATGAACACGCTGAAGATTCTTGCTTGTTATAAATTAGAGATGACCATTTCTACATTTAATAAAATATTTAATTGCGTTTTCTGTACGATATTAAAGAAACAACATTTAAAGCCTTTATTTTCCACAAATTATTTTACACAGTATTCTTGAATTAAATAAAACTGAACTTGTCTTTTTTCTCCATGACAGAGAGTTCAGGCAACCTATACATGAAAAATTTATTTAAGAAAAAAGAACAAAAGGTTTTATATAAAAATTACATAAAAGAAAATTTAATAGCTTTTATCGTGGCGACCGAATCAAGAAATTCCGTAACGAAAATAAAACCTAAACCTCCCCACTCCGCCTACCATGTGGCTCGCGTTTAACACATTCACACGTTGCGCTTGTGTAGTGTTTGTGAATAAGCGCGCGGCGTGACGTCGCACTGCATGCGCATCATGAAAACTCTGCCCATCTCTCTCTCGCGCGGTCTAGCTTATGAGTGTGAAGAGGACAGTTAATGTTTTGCTTTTGTTAATGTTTATAAATACAGCGTGGTCTTATTATTGTTTGAATATTAAATTATTATTGTCTAATTATAATTGCATAAGTTGATAAAAAATGCTATGCAATTACCGCGGCAGTCCTCGAGTGCCACACGTGTTTTTCTGTACATGTCTATATATATAAAAGAAAGTCGTGTTAGTTACACTATTTATAACTCAAGAACGGCTGAACTGATTTGGCTGAAAATTGGTGGGGAGGTAGTTTAGGATCAGGAGAAGGACATAGGATACTTTTTATTACGTTTCTGTGGGATGAGACATAAAATGTGGTATAACAAAACGCAACAGATATGGAATAACAAAACGCAACTGACAGCTAAACGTAATGTAGTTTATGGTTAATTATAGTAGAATTTTGAAGTTGACCGGTTGATGTGTTTGTTTCGAATTTCTATTTATTGTGCCGAGATAGGTAATCATTAAGAAAGCCTTGCCGCGACCAGCACTATCAAATCTTTCCCGACGAAGCCGTAATGCAACTAGGATTCGAAACATTGCGAGTGAAAGGACTGAAGAAGAACAAGAAAATACAATAATAATAATACCAGCGAAAATACATGGCCAATAAAGTATCATTAAAATACTTGCTATTTTAATTTATACTAATTATCCAANATATTCCGGCCGTTAAATTGCTTTTTCGGGCCTTATTTTTGCAACTTTTGAATACACACTGCGGTATTGTGAGACGGGTTGACATTGGCTGTGTTTGAAGTGAACTAAACAAAATAAGAGCTCACATTTCAAGTGCGCTGTTATTTGACGAGACGGATTTTATGCACTGACCCGAAATCTAGTTACTATTGTTGATCGAAGTTAGGCGCATTGGAAAATTCACACAAAAGCCTACGTAACTTTTTACGTATACAATGCGATGAAAACATGGGATCTTGGGGATATTGGTTACCGTTTTGGACTTTTGCATATAATAATACCATGCATACGTCAACCACATATGCACCTCATGAGCTTGTCTTTGGGAAGAAATGTAATATTCCCACTAGGTTAACAAGTAATGTTGTAGAGCCAATATATAATATCGATAATTATGTATTAGAGTTAAGGTATAGATTACAATTAGCAAATAAGGATGCAAGAGAAAAGTTAATTGCAGATAAGATAAAACGAAAATGTACGTATGATAAGAACAGTAAATCAACTGTGTACGAAAAAGACGATTTAATTTTATTAAAAAATGAGACCGGAACAAAAATGGACAGAGTGTTTCACGGACCATATAGTATTGTAGAAGATCGCGGACCTAATGTAAAATTATTAAAAGATAACAAATAGAATTAGTACATAAGAATAGGATAAAACCATTTCATCCCATATAGTATTGTAGAAGATTGCGGACCTAATGTAAAATTATTAAAAGATAACAAAATAGAATTAGTACATAAGAATAGGATAAAACCATTTCATCAAGGTTAATAACAAATGTTTAATTATCTATACTAATATTATAAAGAGGAAAGATTTGTTTGTTTGTTTGTTTCGAATAGGCTCCGAAACTACTGGACCGATTTGAAAAATTCTTTTTCCATTAGAAGCCGACATTGTCCCTGATGAACATACGGCCGTTTTCAATAACGTATCTGAGTTTTCGGATAGATAGCTATCTCCGAATATCAGCAAGAGCGTATCTATCCTTAGTTTGCGTTTCACAATCACGGATAATTGCTATCTCTCTTTAACCAACAGTAGATAGCTTCTTCCCTCCGATTTATCCGAGCCTCTTGATACGTTTCGTTCTACTACAAATACGAAACAACATCAGGATCAAGACTTATTTTATTTTATTCTAAATTATAACTATAATTTAACCAGCATATTGTAGACTATCATAAACACATTTGTTTATAACAAAAAGTAATAAAAACATATGTAGATTTTTTTAAATTGGACGTATTGCTATTTTTATCCTAGTCGAAATTATGAAACGAAACGTTTTGACAGTCCGTTTGCCAATAAGCAGTGATCAGTTTCTTTTGTTTGTTTTTCTATTGTTTACCTACTATATTAGATGATGACTTACCTCCAAAACGCTTTAAAACTCTCGTTTATAATTCTAAGTGTGTTTATAATTAAAGAGCTACAGTGAAATAAAATGAATTCTGTAAGTATCTATGAACTACATTGATAATAATAATTTTACTTTGAAAACTTTGAGTTCAAGTTT